GTGTAGCCAGGACCCCAGGTAAGGGGACCCGGTTAGTGGTTGGGCCCCTGAGCCCCTAAATCGGCCAGAATCACTAAACCAGGTCTGCTATGGCTGGTGTTTTTTCCGGGTGACGGCAGTTCCGGTTAGCAGAACATCACCAAACCAAACCATGTCCCACTAAACCCAGTTTTGACAACGCCCGATCAGAGGGGAAGCCCCAGGAAGGCCGCGGATTCGTGGAGGCTCGTTGGGGTCTCTTGGGAGGCCTCTCGGGGGCCTCTCGGAAACATGTTGTCAGTCTCTGAGGGTCTCCTGGGGGCGTACTGGCAGTCCCGGAGGGTGCACTCGGCCCAGTTCGCCACCGTGCCTGGGTTACGGGTCAGAGGCATTTTGGATGCATATCGGAGGCTCTTAGAAGGCTTCGCGGGGGCCGTTTGGAGGCAATTTTGAAGTTTCTCCAGGCCTCTTGAGGCCTTTTGGGGGCCCCTTGGGGGTCTCTTGGGGCCTCTTGGGTGCTTCTTGGGCGGCCGCTGGCGGTCTCGGTGGCCCTCGAAGGATGGAACGTTCGAAATGTCAATTCAGGACCCCCTTTTCGAGCCCCTTTTGTGGACGTCTTGGGGGCCTCTGGGGCCGTTCTGGGGCCCTCTTGGGCCATGCGACGACGACGACGACGACGACGACGATTCGGAAAGTAGGATCGAGCCCTCGTAGGATTCTATGAAGGTTGGATTGGGCCCCTGTTGATTTCTATTAGAGCTGGATCGAGCCCCAGTAGGATTCTATTAGAGCTGGATCGAGTCCTGGTGGGATGTCATTCGAGCTTGATCAAGCCCTAGTAGGAATACTAGAGCTGGATCGAGGTAAAGTAGGACTTCGCGCTTCGCGCATCCCCACCAGCCCTTTCAAAAACTCTGCTCATGAGAGCTGATGGGGAAAGGGACAAAGAGACACGTCTAGTGAAACAAAGCTCGGCGGATCCATGGAGAACGTGGGCGGGGGGAGGAGGAGGAGGAGGAGGAGGAGGAGGAGGAGGAGGAGGAGGAGGAGGAAGGGGAGGAAGAGGAGGAAGATGATGATGGCGATGATGATGAGGATGATGATGTTGATGATGATGATGAGGATGATGCTGATGATGATGGTGATGCTGCTGATGATGAAGATGCTGATGCTGATGCTGATGATGGTGATGGTGATGATGATGATGATGATGATGATGATGATGATGATGATGATGATGATGATGATGATGATGCTGATGCTGATGCTGATACTGATGCTGATAATGCTGGTGCTGATGCTGATGATGCTGGTGCTGGTGCTGATGCTGTTGCTGATGCTCATGCTGACGCTGATGCTGAGGAGGAGGAGGAGGCGGAGGAGTAGGATACGGATGTGGATGCGGATGCGGATGCGGATGAGGATGAGGATGAGGATGAGGACGAGGATGAGGATAAGGATGAACACGCGGATGCGGATGAATAGGATGAGGATGAGGATTTGGATGGTGATGATTATGATGATACTGATGTTGCTGCTGATGATGATGATGATCAGGATCATGATGATGATGATGATGATGATGATGATGATGATGATGATGATGATGATGATACTGATGATACTGATGATGCTGATGGGGATGGGGATGGGGATGGGGATGGGGATGGATGGGATGAGGATGAGGATGATGATGATGATGATGATGATGATGATGATGATGATGATGATGCTGATGTTGATGCTGATGCTGATGCTGATGCTGATGCTGATCCTGATGCTGATGCTGATGCTGATGCTGACGCTGATGCTGATGATGGTCATGATGATGAGGAGGAGGAGGAGGAGCAGGAGGAGGAGGAGGAGGAGGCGGAATGCCTCTTGGGCATCGTGGGACTCTTGGATCGCTTTTGGGCGCTCTTGGGGCCGTCCTGGGGCCCTCTTGGGGCCCTCTTGGGCCTCTTGAGGCCATCTTGGGAGCTATGGGTCTAAGGAGGGGGGGGGGGGCGGGGGGGGGGCGATTTAGCTCCCCTCCAGAGGCATCAGCATCGCTTCTGGGGGCGCTGTTAGGCCGCTCTTGGGCGCTCTTGGGGCCGCCTGGGGGACGAGGAGACGGAGGAGAGTGATGAGTGCGAGTTCTGTGGGGGTATCTTGTGGAGTGTCGCAGCGCCTCTGCCTGCAGGCGTCCTGGGTCGTTCACGCGTGGTGGCGGGGGCCTCTCCTTGCAGCGCTGGGCGCCGCGAGTTGGTGCGAGAGGCTCTGCGCTGGGCGTGCGCAGGCGGGCCGAGGCTGAGAGATTCGAGGTGTTGTCTGGAAGTCTTACGGGCTTGCTTTAAGTCGGGCCTGTCCCAGCACAGCATGGATGCCAGTTGCATGAGAGGAAGAACAACGCATCATAAACATAACCTTTGAGGTTCGCGCGGAATTCTAGGATCTGGGCTAGAACCCCCGCCCTGGCGCGCGGAGCGCGCCAGGGGGCCGCAGCGCGGATCCAAGAAATCCGCGCGGAACGCCACATGTTTTTGTTTATGCCGTTTGTTCTTGTATGTACGCTCCCTCATGTCTTTCCTCTTCTCCTGCTCTTCCTCGCGGGGGAATGCTCAAAAGTAGTAAAACATAGAATGGGGACATGTTTTAAAACTTATGTTTGGGCATAGGTTGAGCATGTTTCGTCTGTTTTTATGTTTTGTCCAAGCTACCCCTGTAAGGGAACAGGCCCGACCTAAGGCTTGCTGGAGGGAGTACGGGCTGAAGTCGGGTCGAGGCTCTGACGGGGGCGTTCGTGGGCGAGGCGGCATTGGGAGTGTCTGGGTCTTGTGCGAGCCCGCCCATGGGTCGGTTGGAGGGAGGGGTCGTGGGCCAGCCAACCTGAGGAGGAGAAGTGGACGACGAGCAAGAGAGGACAAGGAGGAATGCAAGTCTTGTGGGGACATGTTGGCGAATGGTGCAGCGTGTGTGTGTGTGTGTGTTTGTATGTTGACGACGAAGGTGGTGATGATGAGGACGACGACGAGATATTGGACGATGAGGAGGAGGAGGAGGAGGAGGAGGAGGAGGAGGAGGAGGAGGAGGAGGAGGAGGAGGAGGGAGGAGGAGGAGGAGGAGGAGGAGGAGGAGGAGGAGGACGACGACGACGACGACGACGACGGACGATGAGGAAGTCCATGGGAGAGGTCCTGCGGCGCCTCAGGTCGGGGCTGGATTTTGTCTGGACCTGCCGCGGGGCTGGTTGGAGGTATTGTTCCGTGGCGAGCCGAAGATGGGCGTTCCTCCTCCTCCTCCTCCTCCTCCTCCTCCTCCGCCTCCTCCTCCTCCCCTCCTCCTCCTCCTCCTCCTCCTCCTCCTCCGCCTCCTCCTCCTCCTCCTCCTCCTCCTCCTCCTCCTCCTCCGCCTCCGCCTCCTCCTCCTCCTCGAGGATGGTGCTACAGCTCGGGGAGGAAGAAGACTAATGCCGCAATGCAATTCTTGCGGGGGGGGGTGTTGGGGAACGTTCCAGAGCGTGTTCGGTGTCACGTAGATGGCGGCGGTGGTGATGAGGAGAGCGACGACGAGAACGATGGCGTTGGTGATGAGGACATACAGTGCACGGGTAAGGCCTTGTGGCCCTTCAGGGGGGCCTCTTGGGGACCAGGTTGGGGCCTCTTCTTGGGGGACGCTTCGGGCCCTGTTGGGCGCCTGCTGGCAGGTTTGGGGGTCTTTGGGGCGGAGGGCTCGAAATGTCAGTTCGAGTTGCTCTTGGGGAGGCCCTGCTGGGCCATCGTGGGCGGCTCTCGGGTCGTCTTGGGGCCTTCTCGGGGACTTCGTGGGCCGTCTTGGAACGCTCTCGGCAGCCACTTGATCACTTCTGAGCGCTGTTGAGACCGAAATGGGCGCATGCTAAACATATGCGCTTTCCCAAGGGATTGGGACGATGTTTGCCTCTTAGGTTTTTCTTGGGCGTCCTCCTGTTGCCTTCCCTGGGCGTCTTGGAGATCACTTGGGCAGTAGTGGGGTGGGTCATCTTTGTTGCTGTTGCGTTCTCCTCGGCGTGCTGGAGCCCAGCTTGAGCCAGCTGAGATGGCATCTTGGAGGTCACGGGCCTTGGGCTGCGTTGAGGCGCCCGCTTCCCCCCCCCCGCCCTCCAAATGCGATGTTGGACCCTGGCGGAGTGAGGGGGGTAGCCAACTATTTTACACGCCTTGCCACCCCTGGCAGGCGGGGGATGGCGGGTCTCGCATCCCTTCTCCTGTCACCCAGAATCTTACGACAGTGTATGTTGTATCTGCCATGAGCGTCTGGCAGCAATTCGTGGCAATTGTTCATCGTCCACCGCAAGTTGGGAGATCCCTTCATGCTTGCGCCCAAACACAGGCCGCATGCTGTATGTGCTTCAAGGAGAGCTTGCAACTAACGCTCGCTCTGATTGACCACTTGTTCCAAGTATGTTGGAGATCTGGCGAGTGATCGCTCACCCAGCGGGCGGCAGTGAGCATTCCTGTTGCTACGATCTACCTCAAAACGTTTCAGCTTGATTTGTATTGGGAAGGCCATGCGGCCAGTGCCGCCGACCCTGAAGGAGGACGACGCCGATGACGCTCTGGAGCCCTTCTTGGGGTTCTCTTGGGAGCTTCTTGGGCTCTGTTGGGGGGCCTCTTGGGAGACTGCCTGGGAGGCTCCGTGGCCACTTTGAGTCGTCTCGGATCGGATATGAGGCCTCTTAGAGGCATGCGGGAAAATACGCAGCCCCCCGCAACACCAGATAAGAATCAGGAGGGTGCCTCCGGGGGGGGGGGTCATGCAGGAGGGGGAGGGGGGGTCCCCGTGTCCAGGGGGGAGTCGGGTGGAGGATCATGATTCCCCCTTGTCCACAAAGGGACCACCCCCCTTTATCCCCCTTGTCCACAGGGTCGACTCCCCGGGCAGGAGGTCACGACCCCCAGGACCCCCCCCCGCTATTCCTCCTGAGACCCCCCCCCTGCTACCCAAGTGATCAAAGGGAAGGGTCGTCCCTTCGAATGAATTACGACGTTGTTTGATTTCCATCTGGCTTAATCGCTTGAGGAGGATGGCTCAGGGAAAATGGGGGAGAGGCGACGGCGGTGACGACGACTCAAACGGAAAAACGTCTCACATTTGCCGATGGGGTCGGCGAATTTTCGCCAGGGGCGAGGAGGAGGAGATTCAGGGGGATAGGGAAGGGGGCTAACATCTGGGGGAAGTGTCGATCTCAAGTCGCTTATTCATCGCATCGCGGAGAGTGGCGTTAATGTCCCACCGTGCCCATGAACATGTTGCTTCGCTATCGGGGACACATCGGCGGTGCATCGGCGATTCCAACTCGACCTCGACGTTTACACCCCTCCTCCTATTCCCGATTCCCTTGCCTGTCCTTGAAGGGTGAAGAAAAGGAACACAGCCGGCACGCATCAGCAGTGCGCCCCTTCTGCTTCCAGTTCGCTTCCGCTTCCTCTCGGCGGTCTGTGCCTTTTTTTGTTTGCCCATCGGAGGACTCGTGTCCTCGCGAACGTCCTCCCTTATTGTCGGGACGACGAAATTGAGTACGTTGGATCTGGAATAGGCTCCGTGCACCCTGGGTCGTTTTGCGAGGGTCAAGGCAGGCCATGGTTTCTGTCTCCCCCTCTTCTCTCCTCAATCCTCCTACCGCCTGGCACTGCGCAGGTGGCGCGACTCCTCGGGGCGAGCGTGGTGGAGGCGCTCGGGGGCGGTCCTCTTCCCTCAGCATCGTTCAACCAATCCCATCCCCATCGGGTAAGCCTTCTCTCCGCTAGATGGCCTATCTCCTTAGGTGGGGACAGAGGCCGTTTCCGTCGGGCTCCGTGGCACCCATACCCGTCCATTGGCGGTAGACTGTTGGCTTAACGGAATCTTGGCTTCTAGGGATTGGGATGGGGATTGGTCTAACGATACTGATTCCTCCTTCTCTTGTCAATTTCATGTCGTCCGTGATGGCGTCGTGCTCGCCGTCTGTTGATCTTCTTCCTGCGCAGACCTCACACGCCCTGGGGGCGCGTGTTCGGCGAAGCCAGAGACCCAGAAGCCGGGAATAGTTGCCCCCCAGTTATTGGTCAGCCTGCTGCGCGCGAAGGCCGAAGCTCCCTCGCTACCCCTTTCTCTCCTTCTCACGATCCTCCCGCCTCAGGGTCGGCCCCCAGACCTCTCTCGGGTATTGCCAGGACCCCAGGTAAGGGGACCCGGTTAGTAGTAGGGCCCCGGAGCTCCTTAATTGGCCAGAATCACTAAACCAGGTCTGCCGTAGTTGGTGCTTTCTCGGGTGACGGCAGTTCCGGTTAGTGGAACGGGGCGGGGGAGCCCCCCCCAGTACAAATCACTAAACCAGGTCCCACTAAACCCATTCTGCTAACGCCCGACTCTCTGGGAGCTCGGGCGAAGAGAACTATGCACATGCACCGGTCCTGGCCAGGCCCATCCTTGACCCAGGATCGGTGCATGTGCCTTCCTGGCCAAGGTAGGAGGGCGTATGCACCGATCCTGGGCTCAGGATGGGCCTGGCCAGAATCGGTGTATGTGCATAGTTCGCGCGCTGCGACCGGGGCTTCGAGGCGGGTCCAGGTGCCGCCGGAGGCCTGGACCAGCTGGGGGCGCGAGGGCGAGGAGGGGCGGCGGCAGTGGGCCGTGCGCCGACCCTTCGTCTCCTCCCCTCCCCCATCCCCATTGCCCCTCCTCCTCCTCCTCCTCCTGCCCCTCCTCCTCCTCCTCCTCTTCCTCCTCCTCTTCCTCCTCCCTCCTTAGCTCAAGCCTAGCCCCCCGCCTCCACGTCGGCGCTTGAAGGACACCAGGGCGTCTGGGCCGTGTTTCGTCCAGCCCTTCCTGGTGACGAAGGGGAGCGAATTCAAGGTTGTCGTTCAGGTGCTTGGTCGGGCCGTGTTCAGCTTGTACCCTGTCCTGCACCTGTACTTCGAGGTTTTTCTGGAGGGCTCATTTCATCAGCTCTGGTTTCGCCATCTCCCATCTCCGCCAGGGGAGGGTATGTCAAACTGGCCTTTGGTGATTGGAGCTCTCCTTTGCGACCCGGCGGCGAATCGTCATTTACTGTGTGGCCATGGGTCCGCTATTTTATGTTTGTCCTTTGCGCAGTGTCGGGCGCGGGACAGCCAATGCATTCTAGTCCCCTGCCGTGGAGCGAGGCTGTCTGTGGAGTGGGCGATCCGCTTAGTTGTCGGCGTGTATGTTGATCGCTATGCGCCAGTGCCTCCAGTGCCTTGTAGAGCACACTTCACTTCAGCTTAGTATCCTTTGATGGTCAGCGTGTTGTGGTTTTTGTTCAGTCCGGCTTGTGCTCAGGTACAGGTACTTCCGCTCTTGGTGTTTTGGCCCAGAAGGGGTGAGTTGGCTCAATGTCGGTATTGCACCACATACTTCTTCGGTTTCCCCACGGGCGGGCCCCTGTCCCTCCTGTTCTTCTTCGCCGCGTTGCTGTTCGACGTCAGGGGTGGCACGTAGATCCTATCGAAGTCACTTTTGTGATTGCGGAGATCCTGGAGATCCTCCTCGTCCCTCCCCCCTCCCCTCCTCTGCCGCTCTTCGTCGCTTTCGTGACGGACAACGGCGGTGCCGGAGGTTCGTCGCGCTGCACGTCGGCGTCAACGTGGAGGCGCACCACTTAGCACGCGCAGTGCCCCCCGAGAGGGGGGACGGTTCGCTTCGGCGTTACTCTTCTTCTTCGTATTCTTCTTATGATTCTTATTCGTCTTCTTTTTCTTCTTCTTCTTCTTCCCCCCCCCCTTTTCCCTTTCCGCCCCTTCCCTCGTCACTGGTGCGCCTCCTCCTCCTCCCCCTTCCCCTTGCCCAGTGGCAGCTGCGGAGCGTCGAGCGCAGAAGAGCGCTGGCGGCGCGAGCCTGACGGAAAACGAGCGAGGGCCCACACCGGGACCCCGCGTGGAGGGGGAGCATGAGGAGAGAGGAGGGAAGACCATAGTAAGCCCAGGATGCGTCAATGATGCTTCAACGCACCAGTCCCAAGGCCACCCCACACAAGTCCCCGCGGGCATTCGTTTCCACTATGGAAGCGCCCCCGTGAATGACAAACGATCCACGGGCTTGCCTCTCAGGCGAGAATTTCGTTGTGGCATGGAACGTCATTGCATCCGTCCAGGTGCCTAACTATAAGGAGCGCGAGGAGCTATGATCAACTATCACACTAAAGCGCTGTTCGAAGGGGACCTTACTCCATCCTTATACCTGTTGCGGCGGCATACACGTTTACCATTGCTTTGAGGCATATATATATAGATATATCCGTTTGGACAACGCGCTACTCTTCTGTGATTGTAATTGCTGTGCATGCTTACGCTTCTGGTACTGAGCACGGAGGGGTCTTAAGCGAGAGCCCCATTTGGAACAAAAGAACCTTGTAATTAATACGCGTTATCACTTCAATTTAGCGCGGCGCAAAAGCCAAAACCACATTGTTGAAGTGGGCTGCCCTCAATCATCGCAATCCTTGTCGCTTTGCGTATCCTCGCCAGCCCATCCAGAAACGATCGCCAGACCTCCAGCGCGACTTGTCGCTGGTTGCTTGTTTCTCCCGACGCATCGCTGGTTACTTGTTGCCCTCGTCGCTCACTGGTTGCATGCGGCACTTGACGTGGTACTCGTTTTCTGTCACTTTAAACGCGTCGCGGCTTGGGCCCGATGGTTCAAACAGAGGGGGTCCCATTTGTAGAACCCCCCCCCTTCGGTGGCCCAGTCTCACTGGCTCAGACAGAGGGGGTATTTAATTTAGCCCCCCCCCTCCCCCCTCGGAGGCTCAAACATCGTTCTTTGGCGTCTCTGTGGCGGTTTTGGGGCCGGCTTGAGGCTTTTTGGGCCCTTCTCGGGGCTCCCTTGGGCCATCTGGGGGCCATCGTGAGGCCTCAGAGAACGATGGGAAGCGAAAGGGCAAGAAGACAAACACACTCGTGGGTCCAAGGTTTTTGACGGATTTTGGCTTCGTGGAGGGTGCCCAGGAAGGTTCGAAAAGGGCACTTGGAACCGTCTTGGCGGTGTTTTGCGGCCTCCTGGAGGTATGTCGGAGGCTAGATTGAATCATCAATGGCTATATTGTGCTATCTTCCAGGCCGTCTTGGGCTGCCGAAGGCTCCCTTGAAACCATCGTGGGCCCATCTCGAAACTCCAACTACCTTGTCCCCCCCCTCTCAGGCCCAGGGGAGGGGGTTGGGCAAGCCAGGTGCACTCGCGTCATATCTGACGTCCTGCCCCTCCATCCCTTACCATGGCGTAGATGTCCCTTCTATTCGCACAGTCGGATGTCGAGCAGGGTAATGATCGCGAGAGGGTACGCGATGCATGGTGGAGCACGGCATGGCATGGCGTAGGTCGCATGCCATCGCATGGCGTGACTCTGCGCAGTGAAGAACCGCACCACAAAAACTTCCAACGCAAAATATCGCATTTCACAACGGCGCAGAACGCAACACCACACAGCATGTCACTGCATGGCGCCGGGTTCGTTGGAGGGTAAGTGGATCGCCTTCGAGAGGTCTGGGCCGGTCCGGAGTCGTGGCTCCATGTTTGGCTGCTGGGGCTCTCCGATAAGCTCCACACAGGGCGGGGCTGATACAGAGCGCCCACTGGCTCCGCTTCCAACTTCGTGTTTTCAAAGCAGACTCGGGGTTCCCGTTTGATACTGACTGCAGACGACGACACCCCAAAGTGGGGTGGGCTTCTGCGGAAATCAGCGAATCGGCACCGACTGTGCAATCACTTCCGACTGTTTTTTCGGGGGGCATTTTTTTGATTTTGAGGCCTACCTGGAATGACCGAAAACGCCCGCGCTGCAGCGGGAACACGATTTGGAACAACCAGAGGCGCAGAAATGGGGCCAGCGCTTCAGCGGGAGCAACATTACGGACAAAAACGAAGCGAGAACCATTTCTTGGGAATCCTGTGTATAAAATACAGTACGCGGAGGGGGGTTGGGTATCTTCCGGACGTCATCAGGGGAGAGGGGAGAGAGGAGAAGTATTCATATCGTGTACTTGCGGAAGGGGTAAACCCCTCTTCGAGCAGGGGGAGGAGGTGGACAGAAGACAATGTGTAAAGCCACCTGCATCCTGAAGGGTTGGTGGGATGTGTAACGTGTGGGAGTTTTGAATGCGAATGTGCGCGGCGCTACGGCGAGTGCCACACCACCTGTGTAATTAACCGTTGGGGATTTCAAGGTTGGGTTTCATAAGCAGGGTGGGGAAGTCTCAGGCGAAACGCCAGACCCGCCCTACCGCCACGCCCGGTGGTGCGACGAGGAGGGATTACAATTGTTTTCAGGAAAGATGCATGCGCGGGGAAGTAGTGTGAACAAGAGGGGGAGGTTCCGCCCGACGTCCGCATCCGCGGTGGCGTCGTCGTCGTCGGCGTCGGCGTCGGCGTCGTCGTCGTTGGCGTCGTCGTCGTTTCCTCGTTCTACTCCTCCCCCCCGCCCGTTCTGCTCGTCCTCGCCCTCCTCGCCGGGCCTCCTCCTCGCTCTTCCCCTCTTCACCCTCCCGCCTGTCCCGCATCGACGCGCGCCCGGACCCCCTGATGGAGCGGAGTCGGACTCGGCGGCGCCTGGTGCCGTTTGATTGTGGACCGCATGGCGTCAGGCCCGTCCCCAACTCGGCGGCGAGAGCGAAAGGGGAAGTGAAGGGGAGAAGGCCTTCTCAGCAGGCCAGAAAGTCCCCCCGTCTTCTGAGAAGTGTTCTGAGCCTTCCGCGAAGACGCAGAGAACTTCTCAGCAAGCGCGAGGGCTTCTGAGAGGTCTCGCCGCATTCTGAGAAGGCCTTCTCCTTCTCGCTCCCCCCCTCGCTCGCCGCCAACTTTTGGCCCGCCCCCGACAACCTCCCGCCTGTCGTCGCCGTCCCCCCTCCCGGAAGGCTCCCGCGTCCGCGTGGGGCCCCGGCTGCGCCACCGCCGGAGCTCTGCTGGAGGAGGACGGCGCGCGCGGGGGCGCGGCTCCGCGCGCATGGCGCGCGCCACTTCGGGGTTCCTCCCCCTCCTCCTCCTCCTCCTCCTCCTCCTCCTCCTCCTCCTCCTCCTCCTCCTCCTCCTCCTTCTCCTCCTCCTCCTCCTCCTCCTCCTCCCCCGCGGCCTCGGGCAGGGGCAGGGGCAGGGGGTGGGCTCCGAGGAGCGGGCCTGACATTTCTAGAGGCAGGCTCCTCCTCCCCCAGGCCTCCTCCACCATGCCTCCACCTCCTCCCCCTCCTCCTCCTCCTTCCCCTCCTCCTCCCCCTCATCCTCATCTTCTCTCCCTCTCCTCAGCTCCCGCCTCTTCACTATCTCTCTCTCTCGCACGGCTGGGACAGCCAACTCTTGGCTCCGCGGCCTGAGAACGCAGCCGATGGCCGCGCAGCGCCCGCGGTGCCGTTGTTCCCGCTCCACGATTGGCCGTTCTCGCGCGCACTGGTCCACGCTTGTGGTTTATGATGTACAGTCGGCCCAGATTAGTAGGTCGACCTTGCCAAATCAAGGGGACCCTCGTGCCCTGTGTCTCGCGACCCATGCTTCCTACGTTCATGTGGCAATAGGGCCCTCGGAAGGGTCTTGTGGCCTCTCGCGTGTCCTGTCCAATCGAGTCCGACTGTATGGTACCCAGCTTGTTGCCACTGCCGGCTCTTCACACACGCATGGCTTTGCTGGTCCACATGTGATGCAACAGATACAGAAATTGTAGCAGTTCGCGTAGGACAGGTTCCCGACGTAGACCAGGCGCTCGCCGTACACCCTGCTGTCTCGGCCAGAGCCCTTGCCACCTCCGCCCCTGCCCTCTGCAGCTGATGACATTTTTGCACCACCGGCCGTCCCACTGACCACTGCCACTGCTGGTCCTTCTCGCACGTGCCAGCCCCCGCCTGCTGCTGATGACGTCTTTCAGCTCTCCTCCTCTTCCTCGGTGTCATTCGGCGCCACCTCGTCATCCTCCTCCGGCTCGCAGCTCTCCTCTTCGGGCTCCTGGCCGCTCTCCTCGACCTCTTCAGGACCCTCGTGCGGCCAAGCCCCTGCCGTCTCCTCTCCCATAGCGCCCTGCTGCCATTGCCGCCCCTTCTCGCACAGCCGAGCTGCCACTGTGGTCCCTTCTCGTGCACTGCACCGGCTGCCACTGCCCCTGAGCTGGCACTGCCGTCCCTCTTCGAGCTGCCACTGCCATTCCTGATCTCGGTGATGAGCATGTGTACGATAGGCCACGTTCGACAACGAATCTGCAGGCAGCAGCCAGGGATTGGTGGAGGGTATCGGTCACGCCAGATAAGTAGGTCCCGTGGCCACTAGGCCACGCCCGAGGCGTCATCGTTTACGACCGCCTCTCATAGGACGTCCGCGTCCAGCTCGAAACGGGACGCTTTAGGCCGTCTAACGTCGTAGTTGATGGCATCGGGATCGTTCGTCGTTGTGAGGCCCTCGTAGATGATGGCATCGTTCTCGTGTTTCGCGTCCCCATCCGCGCGGGTGAAGCCGTCGGGATCGCGCTTTGTAGCACCACACTCGCGGTTGGTGGTGTCAGGCTCGTGTTGGCCCCGGCTTTCAATAGCGGAATCACCCTTCTGGCTGATGGCGTTGGTCTCTTGCGTCACGACACCGTTCTCGTAGCTGATATCATCGGACTCTTGCCTGGGTGTGCCGCCTTCGTAGCTGATGGCGGCTGCGCGCCCCCTCCGTCGGTCGTGTTGCCCCTTCTGCTTGCCGACGTTGCTGCCACTGCGGGGCTTTCTCGCACCCGTGCTGGCCCTCCTCGTACAGAGTCTGCCCGCCCTTCTCGCACCACGGCCAGCCCTTCTCGAACCACTGCTGGCCCTTCTCGCACCATTGCTGGCCCTGCTCGCACCACTGCCGGTCCTCCTCGCACCTCCGTCAGTCACCCTCTCTTGCGCGCTGCGCTTGCCAAAGTGCTCCCGAGCGTAACTTCTGCCGGCCCTTCTCGCTCCGCTGCCGCAGTGTGTGTGTGTGTGTGTGTGCGTGTGTTGTCACTTTTCCCGAGCATGTAGTTGATAGCGTCTGGGCCTCCTCCTCCTCACCGCCATTTGCCGCCGCTGCTGGCTCTCCTGCTCTCTGCCGGCGTGCGATTGCCCGGCGCCTCGTGGGGACGGCCTCGCGCGCTCGTTTGACCATGCCGAAGGCGTCGGCGTCCGACGCTGCCGGGTCGTTTCGCACGTGCAGCTGCTGACGTTTGGTTTCTGTCGCTCTCGCCACTGACCGCTGCCACTGCCAACGCTTCTCGCACACGCGGGCCCGCGCCTGCAGCTGATGGCGCATGTTACTCTGGCCGCCGACCGCTGCCACTGCTGGCCTTTCTCGCACGCGCGGGCCAACGTATGTAAGCGGGTCCCCCAGAACATCATTGGACCCCCCTTTTAGCCTCTGAGAGTTGATTATCCCCGACGGGTAGAGAATTGTTCGGGGAAGAGGAGCGGCAAGACCGAACTTGATAATCGCGGGGGGAAGTTGCGAATCGAAATTATGATCTTCTTATGTTGCCTAGCAAGGATTTCCTAGGTTTCCGATTGATTTCTTAAGGAATCCGATGGATGGCCCAAGGAATCCTATGGATGTCCTCAGGATTCCCATGGATTTCCGAAGGAATCCTATTGATGGATGTCCCAAGGAATACGATGGGTTTCCAAAGGGATCCTGTGGATGTCCTGAGGAATCTTATGAATTTCATCAGGAATCCGGTGCATGTCCTGAGGAATCCGATGGATTTTCTAAGGAATTCCATGGAGTTCCTAAGGATTCCATTAATTTCCTAAGGATGCTATAGATTTGCTCAGAAATCCCATGGCTGTCCTAAGGAACCCGATGGATTTCCTATGGAACCCGATGGATGTCCTAAGGAATCCGATGGATGTCTTAAGGAATTCGATGGATGTCCTAAGGATGCCCTATGGAATTTCTAAATAATCCTCTTCCTCCTCCTCCTAGCGCGCCCAGTCCGAACTTTCCCGCGGGCTCCTCTTTCGTACCCTCCTGCTCTTGATTTCCTTAAGGATTCCCAAGACTTGCTTAAGGAATGTTATTGGATGTCCTAAAGTCTCCTGTAGATGTCCTAAGGAATCCTATGGATTTCCGAAGGACTCCTGTGAATTTCCGAAGGAATCCGACGGATGTCCTGAGGAATCCGATGGATTTCTTCCCTGGGGAAGCCTAAGGACCTCCTGAAGATCTCCCTTGGAATCCGCAGGACCTCCTGGATACGATCGCCTCGCTCTCTTCCCTTGTGTCTCTTGTTCGTTTTCGCCCCTGCCGCGTAGTTCTCGGCTTGCGCTCATCACGCGACTTCCTGACGCCGTGCGGGTGCCCGCTCGCGGTCGCGATCAAACAGTAACCCCACCAGCCCATCCAGAAATTATGCCCTCGGAGCGCGCTGCCCCGCCCTCCTTGGCAGGCGCCGGCGCCGGCCCTGGACCTGCGCCGAGCCTGCCCTCTGGCGGAGAGGTCGCGCTCGCGGCGGCGTGCTGTGTCGGCTCAAGGGCTGGCCGCCGCTCGAGTCTTGACTCGGGCTTGTCCCTCTACAGAAGGGAAACTCACAAATAGTTTACAACATGCCCTGAGGACGACTTGTTTTTGGGTGTATTGTTTAAACTATTTTTTATGCTTCCCCTGTAGGGGGACATGCCCGACCTAACTCTTGCCCTCTCTCTCCCCGGGGCGCGCTGCACCCCCCCCCTCTCAAGGCCTCCTCGATTGGGTCGGAGTGGACTGGCCCAGAGGATCGCGCCGCATCGGCGGAGCGTCGCCGATGCGGGGCAGTGCGCGGCCCGATTGGCTTCACATCGACGTCGCCGACGCATCGCAGACGCGTCGCTGATGCATCGCCGATGCATCACATCAGCGATGCATTGGCAATGCGCCGCGATCCTCCGACCCCATACCTACTCCGACACCATCCAGGAGGCTTCTATTCGCGAAGGGCACCAGCCCAGCCCGGCCAGGCTCCCACGGTCCCGCTGAAGCGGTGCACGGGGCGCCTGCCAGGCCGAAGCCTGGAAGGCGCGTCCACCCGCTTTGGGCCCGGGGATGGGTTTAACGGGATGGGTGCAGGCGGATGTCGTTTTCACGCGGAGAGAAAAGACTCATGAATTGTCGCGCGGATTTGGTGGATGCGCGCTGCCCCCCCCCCCCGGCAGCGCCTCTAGCGCCGCCTCTGGCGCGCTCCGCGCGCGCGCGCCAGGGAGGGGGGCCCAGCGCAGATCCCAGAAATCCGCGCGGACCGTCACATGGTTATGTTTACGCCGCTGTTGTTCCTCTACGCGCGTAAGTGCGACCTTTCGCCAGAGTGACCTTTGGTGCGCGCCCAGCGGGATCGGCGCAGGCGGATATCGACGACACTCGACTGCGAAACGACGCATAAATTGTTGGCGCTTCTATTGGCCCCGCCCGCCGTGCCCCCTCCGCCGCCCGCTCGACCAATGCCGCTTTTGTTTGTTGGCGCCTCTACTATCGCCGCCCAGACCGTCAAAAGTTTATGTTGATGCCGTTTTTGATGGTCGCCGTCTCTACTGTTGGTGCCACTATTGTTGGCGCTTCTACTGTTGGTGCCTCTATTGGCCCCGCCCGCCCTACGGGTGACTTTAGGGCAGGGCGGATGTCATCTACACTCGAAGGAGAAACGACGCATAAATTGTTGGCGCCTCTATTGCCCCCCCCGCTGCCCGCCCGACCCATGCGGCGCCTGCTCGCCGCGCCGTGCCTCCTGGCGGCGCCCGCGGCGCTGGCGCGGAGCGCCGCGCGCGGGGCGCCGCGGCGCCTCGAGGCCACCGCGACCCGTGGCCGCCGCCGCCGCCGCCGCCCAAAGTGCGTGGGGTGGACGTCCAAGAAGCAGGGGAGGCGAAGAGCAGGGAAACGAGCAATGACATAAACATAACAACTCTGATGTTCGCGCGGATTTCTCGGATCCACGCTGGATCCCCCTGGCGGCGCTTCCGGCGCCGCCCCTGGCGCGCTCCGCGCGCCAGGGAGAGGGGTCCAGCGTCGATCCGAGAAGTCCACGTGGACCTCCGAGTTTGTATGTGTATGTCATTTTTCGTTCCCTTACTCTACCTCGGTGGCAGCCAAGAGGGGGGCGATGACTAGGTGAGGGTGTGGGATATCATGGCGTGGGCCAGGAGGTTTCCCCAGATGTCGAGGCGCCTCTTCTTCTTATTTCAACACGTCCCCGGCCCCCCCTGGGCCGCGCACGCCGCTGGCCATGATTTGCGCCCCCCCCCTCTTGGACGCACCCCTCTTGGCTGCCTCCGAATACCGGTACCCTTCGCCCGTTTTCCCCTTTTTTGGGGGGGCCCCCTGGGAGGCCCTCGTCGCCACCGCCGGATTCCGGCTCCCATTTCTACGACTCAGGCGCCCGTTCTTATCTTTTCGATTCTCCATGGTGGGCCTGTTTTCCACCGCCACCACCAGAAGTAGGTGGGGGAGGGTGTCCTCCTCCTCCTCCTCCTCCTCCTCCTCCTCCTCCACCTCCTCCTCTTCCTCCTCCTCCTCCTCCTCCTCTTCCTACTCCTATTCCTCCACCTCCTTCTCCCCTCCAACTTATGGTGGTGGTGGTGGTGGTAGAAACAAGCCCATCACTCCAGCCTCGACCCGACTCCAGCTGCCGAGCGGCCAGTCCAGTCTTTTCCGGCGCCCCAGCGCGCACCCGCTGCATCCACGTACAGTGGAGAGACCCATGCCAAGAAACACCTTGCTTGCCTTCAGGGCGCCCTGGGTTTCTTGAGTTTCGGTGGCTTTTCAACGGAAGCCGTGACGATCCCACACCAGAAATCCATGGGCGTCCCGGGGTCTCAGGGTTGGGCGTCTTGCGGAAGGTGTTTTTTTTTTGACTGGCCTCTACGGTATGGCAGCGCGCGTGGGGGCCTTCCACCCGTGTAGGAGGTAGAAGGCGGGCATCGCCCCGCTCGGAATGAATTGCGTTCACTCTGGCCGTCGAGACTGTTGCGCCAGAACGTGCTTCCGTTACTGATCACGGGCCCTTGGTCAAAGCATGGGCCAAGTCCGCCATCGGGGTAAAACAGTGGTGTGCACCATGGCACTCGGTCCGGGATCCGCGTCGGCCTCCAGCAGAGAGCCACTGAAGTTGCCTTGAAGTGGATCCCTTCTCACATGGATGAGGCCCCGCACTGCAGCAGTAGCATTGACCCAGTCCTAATGAAGGGCAGCGCCTCGGCCGATGTGGAGGCGGGGCCAGCTGCGGGTAGGCTTCAGTCGGGTATGTCCCTCTACGGGGGGAATATTCAAACATAATCCAAAGATCCAAAATCCGCTTGTAGGGGGACATGCCCGACCTAAGGGTAGGCGTTTGGTGGCGTCGGTGGGAAGACGAGACAAGCCAAGGACGGATCGCTGGATTCTTGTTCCCACCCTGGTCCGAGCCCAGGGCTGGACCTGAACGCTCTTCTGCTGGACTCCGGTTGTGCTTTGTTTTTCGTTCTTGGCAGGGGGGTACAGGTAAACGGGTATGGCAAGACGAACAACGAAACGAAGACAAAACGGACAACAGCGTTCAGGTCCAGCCCTGGCCCGAGCCCGTGCACGACGAGCGCTGGCCCTGGCTGCCAAGGCCGATCCCTGGAGTGGAGGGCGCGCCGCGGACCGAGGCGGGCCCAGCCCCGCCCAGACGATCCGTGGAGTGGCGAGCCCGCCTCGAGAGTTAGAGGGCCGGCCCCGTCCAGACTCGACATCTTCGGGAGCCTTGAGACGGGGGTCAATGCAAACGGGGGTCAGCCAGGGCAATGGATCTTGCAGGATCTTGCGAAGACCCCCTCTGGCTGACCCGGGTTGGCGAGCCGCTCGTGGCCGCGAGGCGGCCGCGCCTATTGGCTGACCCGGGTTTGCGAAGACCTGCATTGCAGTGTGTTTTTCTTTGCATTGCAGTTTTTTGGTTTCCCGCTGACCCGGGTTTGGGTTGACCGGGGTCAGAAGATCCCCGACATCTCGGGAGCCGCCCCTGGCGCGCGGCAGGGGGTCCAGCGCAGATCCGAGAAACGTGCGCTGAGCGCAAGGAGAAATGTGCATGGCATTTGTTCTTCTTCTGCCTGGAGTGGCGCCCCCCCTCCCGGGGCTTTTCCGGAGCCTCCCCAGGGCCCCTCTGGAGCTTCGAAGAAGTTCCAAGAGTCATCGAGGGCGTTCCACCACTCGAAGAGTGCCTACTCGCAAACGTCCGACAAAAACATTTTTTCGTTTATTCGGGAGCCTTGAGACGGGGGTCAATGCAAACGGGGGTCAGCCAGAGCATCCGATCTTGCAGGATCCTGCAGGGCCAGGGTCGCACTGGCCCGGGTCTGGGTGCAGGATCCTGCAGGAGCCTGCAGGATCCTTCGCCGTTGACCCGGGTTTGGGTGCAGGATATTGCAGGATCCTGCAGGAGCCTGCAGGATCCTTCGCCGTTGACCCGGGTTTGGGTGCAGGATATTGCAGGATCCTGCAGGATTCTGCAAGGCTTGACTGACCCGGGTCTAGATTGACCCGGGCCAGAAGATCCCCGACATCGCCCTGGCTGCATCCAGCCATCGCCCCGGCTGCGTCCATCCAGCCTCCTCTATTAACCTTTGATGCACCTCGCAGTGCATGTTCCTCAGACACACCAGATTCCTGAGGCCACGGCATCGCCCACCCGGTCTTAGCCAGGCCCGGACGGTGTCCGCAGCGGTGGTCGTTCGTTCGTTCGGACCACGGCGGGTGGCAGGTGGCAGCGCGAGGGGGGGGTGCAGTATTGCCGTGCCAGCTTGCCGAGGCCAGCTTCCAGAGTGGTCCGTGCTGCGGGTTTGCTTTGCCGAGCCCCCCACCCCCGTCTGGCGAAGGGTCGAAGGGTCTGCGGGGGCCAGGGGCAGACTGGACTTGGCAGCGGGTCGAGCCACCCACCCGTCTCGTATTGGTCAAGGATTGGACAGGTTTCTGTTGAGCTGCTGCACCACGTGCGGCAAGTATGCGACCGTGGATGGAAGGCACTTGGCTGGCCTTTAAATAGACCAAGATAATTTCAGTCGGATCGGCGAGAGCCTGTACCACTGGCTTGGAGGGGCCCCAGCGCCTCTGCAGCAAATCATCGATGCGCGCGACCTTGACCGCCCGATGTGTAGAGCCCCACCCGTGCCCGAGGGGGACGAGGGCGGCCCGTCCGCCACCGCAGCTGGTCCCCACCCCCCCGTTTGGGGGGGAAGGCTGGCGGCTGGCGGGCTGTCGTGGTCGCGGAGGTGCGCGTGCCAGGGCTCCGCCGTGCGGGAGGCGTCTTCGCCCTCTTCCCCTTGCCCCTCCTCCGTCGCACGATCTTCTGCGCTCGGCCAAAACGGTCCAAAAGGTCATCGTCGTTCTCCTCATCCTCCTCCTCTTCCTCCTCCTCCTCCTCCTCCCGCTCGAGGGGGCGTCGTTCGCGGCGCTGTGCTCCAACTACGATGGCTCCCAGATCAGCGGCATCACGGGCGGCCAGGCAACGGATTGCGAGGAGCCACAAGGGGGAGGCGAAGGGGACTAGGGAGGAGGTACCAGGAAGAGGAGGAGAAGGAGGGTTACGAAGATGAGGAGGAGGAGGAGGAGGAGTTTCAACGAGGAGCAGGAGGAGGAGGGTGGGAAGAATTGGAGGTCTGAGAGGGGAGGCTGACCAGCAGCATCAGGAGGCATCGGGAGGGATCAGGATGGGATCCGGGATAAGTGGGAATCGGTGGTAGCATAGAAGAGGAGGAGGAGGAGGAAGAGCAGGAGGAAGAGGAGGAGGAGGAGGACAAGAGTCCATCCAAGATTTCCGAACGATGCTGCAGGACACCCTCTGGTCCCGAGCTCCCTCCTCTGAAGTCCCCAAAAGCCTTTCTGTCCACTTCAAACGCTTCCTTGCAACACCAGCACCCTGCAGGCCTGCGGTTCAGGCGAGAACCCCGTGTTGAAATGGGAAAAACTATTTTGGCATCCGCCAGCGAGCTTTCACGAAGGTGCACACAGGTATGGTCACACAGTCCAGCGGGTTGTCCAGCGATGTGCCCCTTTTGAAACAGAAGTGGCCCCAGCTGTATGCATCTAGAAGACGTTCTCACCTCTGGCCATGGGCGTCGAGGAAGTCGCAATCGAATGCCCCGTTTTGACGACGAGCCGCCCTCCATCCGTGTAGTTGTGCCATGTGTTCGAGTGTCTGGGTGACTGGAACTCACAGTTAAGGGAGAAAGGGCGCCAGTGGACCCCCCTCCAATTGAAAGGACCCCCTCCCCTCCCTGAAAGGGGGGGTGGGTTTTCGGGCCCCCCCTTCCTTTGAGCCCGGTGGGATAGGGGTTTCGGACCCCCCCCCTCCCCCCTTGAGCCGGAGATGGGGGGAGGATTTTGAACCCCCGCTCCCCCCACTTCGCGATACTTTGCGCCGGTTAGGGTGTGAGGGTTAGCGTATCAGGGTTAGGGTGCTAGGGTGACCCAGTGCTTACGCGGAAAGGGTGTTGGGGTCAGGGCGGTAGGGTTCGGTTTAGGGTACCAGGGTTTGGGTGGTAGGGTTCGGGTGACAGGGTTAAGGTTACGGCGGTAGGTTTAGCGTTCAGGTGGTAGGGCGTGCTAGGGTTAGGCTGTTAGGGTTCGGCTTGTAGCGCTCGGCTGATAGGGTTAAGCTATAGCGGTAGGGTTTGGGTGTTGGGGTTCGGGCTTTGGTGTTTGGTTTCCATTGTCTTGGGGTTATGGTTTTTAAGGTTTGCGTGTTCGGCTTAGCGTGTGAAGGTCGGGGTGTTAGGTATAGGGTGTTAGGATACGGGTGTTAGGGTTAGGATGTTCGGGCTAGAGCGGTCGGGTTCGCGGCAGGGTGTTTGAGGTAGGTAGGGGGTGGGGCGTTTCGGGGCTAGGGTATTAAGTTTGACTTTTGTTTGGGGATATGTTGTTAGGTTTCGGATATTCGGGATCGGATTCGGGTGTTAGGGTGCTACGATCAGCGTGATCGGATGAGGGCGTTTTGGATTTAGGGTGTAAGTTTACGGTGTCAGGGCTAGGGCGCTGAAAAGGGTAGTGGTAGGGTTAGGGTGTTCGGATTAGGTCTTGGGTGTCGAGGGGGTGGGGTGTTAGGGTTCGGGCGCTAGTGTTCGGGGTCCAGGGCAGGGGCAGTAGGTCTCAAGGGCAAGGTGTTAGGATTAAGGTGGTGGGGTCACGCAGGCTGCACCAGGCTGTCTTGCATCCCCTGCACCTTCCGAGCACAGCTGAGCCTTTCGGGGCGATCTTGGGGCGTTCCTGTGTATTTGTCTATCGTTTCCCGGAAGACCGACCTCCTCAACATTCTAAAAGCGCCAACGCGATCAGATTCATCTGCTCCTCGGCGTCTCCTGCGGCGACGGGGACTGCGAAACAGTGAATATGCAGATATGGGTGATGCTGTTGCTTGAGGCGACGGCGAGCCCAGGAGCGCTCGGGCGGCGAGTGCAGCGTCATGCAGCGCCTGGGAACGTCGGGGGACCCTGGGGCGCGCTGTGAAGAATCAAAGAGTACCTGTTGCACGGGATCGCGAGGGATGGATGGGTGCTCTGTTGAGCAGATGCGCACCGAATGGGATTTGTTTCATGGGGTGGCGAGAGTTGGGTCGTTGCGAAGGTCAGCCGATGCCAACCAAATTGTATCTGTCGCAGGTGATCGTGGAGATCAGAGATGTGCACCGGATGTTGTTCGTTGCAGTGAGTTTTGAGTGCCCAGCCGATGTGAAGATCAACCGGTGTCCTCCGCATTCGCAGGGGGCCGCATAGGTCGGGCAGGTGCGAAGCTGCGAAGATCAGAGTCGCGCGACGATCATGCTTTCCTGGAGGGTAGCGCTCTGGATGATATCATGTCACAATCAAACAATGTGCGCCGCGTTTGTTTTTGCAGGTGATCGCAAAAGGGGTCGCAGCCAGAGTTCTCGTGGAGCACGGTCGGGGGCCCGCCAGGGGCGGGTGCCGGGGCTATTGAGTAATTGGTAGTAGACTTAAGGGGTGATCGTTTAGTTGTAATGTTAGGGCGTGAGGGCTGGGGCGCCGTAAGATTGCGGGCGCCAGCTTAGGCTTGGGCGCGGATCGACCGTTCCCGCGCTAAGGTTTCCCCATGCAATCGGCGCGTCCTCTTGTCGCGCCAACTCGGTCTTGCATCCTCTGCGCCCTCCGAGCGCAGCTGGGCCGCCCCGGGGCGATCTCGGGGCGCGCCCGGGCCCTGCTTCTATCCCTCCTCGCGAGACCGACCCCCCAAACAATCGGAGCGCGTCGACACGATCTGCTTCGCCTGCTCTTCGACACCTGCCCGAGCGACGGGGGCGGCGAAGATGGGCGCGTGGCCCCCCCGCTGGCGACGACGGCGAGCCCTGGGCGCTGGGCGAGCGATGAGGGCGCCCGGGGCCGCCCGGGAGCGCATGGAGTAGCCCGGCAAGCGCCGGGGCCTGACATATGGGCTGGCGACGGGGGCCCGAGACGGAGAAATCATTCATGCATGCGCCGTCGGAGAATTTATCGCCGCGCATTTTGCCCCCGGGCGCCTATCGGAGCTGGGGGGAAAGGTCGGCCGTTAGAGTCAGCCGGCGCGCGCCAATTTGTTTTGCGCTGCGCGCCGCGGCGGGGGGCGGGTCGAAGCGAGGGCCATCGTCTGTGCGCCGAAATAATGGCGGTATAGGATGGTGAGTGTTGGGCCGCTGTGGAGATCAGCCGCTGGCAGCCATGCGGCGTCGCGGGGGCCGGAGGTGAGATAAGGCCACGTTGAGATCAGCTGGGCGCGCGATCCGCTCGCGGGCGCATGGGTCGCGAGGCGTCGGAACAGCCGGCGCGCGCCGCGTTCCTGCTCTGCGCGGGGGAGAATCGGGATGTTCGCGATCCGCGCGCGGACAGACTGATCGATCTATGTTGCGCAGGTGCTGAGATCAGCATCGGAGAAGCGAGCGCGCCATGTGATCATCATAATTCACATGTGGCTTCAGATGGCGCGACCCCATGGATCAGCCGACGCGCGCCGCGCCCCGTTTTCCCCAGGGGATCGCGCAGGGGATCGCGGCCGGCGGCTCGTTTGAACCCGGTCGGGGGCCGACCGGAGGTGGGCGTCGGGGCCGCGCGCGTAGAGGGCTCGGCCGGGGCGCGAGGCTGGGCGCGGCGCCCTAGCCCGTGCCTCTAGTCTGCTCAGGAAGTCCATTTCTGAGGGCCAGTCGGAAACGGGCACTCAAGCTTCGATCCAGACAGCGCAGGGGCGCTAGTCGCTCGCCGTGGCCCTGCGCCCGCGCGCCAACCCGCGGCGCTTCGCCGCGACGCGTGCGACATGTAGCGATCGCGCGCGGCGGCGCGCCAACTGGCATCTCAACGCCCTGCCCGCGCGCAGCATGAAGCCATCGCTCTGCGCCGCGCAACCTTTCGGGAAACCCACCAGGTCAATTTTGGAAAGGCGGTTGCCGAATTTAAGTTGCGGCGCCGCAGAGTTCGAAATTCCGCGCGCCACTTCGCGCGCGCTCGAATGCGCTGCAACGAACGAGGAAGGGGGCGTCGTGTCTCACCGGCGTCGATGACGGCAGTGGCATGTGGTTCGCATCGCGGCGAAATCGCGTGCTTGCTCAGCTAGAATCGGCGGGCGTCGCGACTCCATTGTTCGTCGCGAGCGCTCGCAGGTCAGAGCGCCTGGTTTCATTCGTTGTCGCGCGAAGGGGGGGGCGCGCGCGCGGATTGTTCGTGAGTTGTTTCGCTTGCGTTCTCGGTGGCGTTTGGGCGGAATCAGCGCCCTTCGGGCGCGCGGGGCCTGGCCCTGCGACGGCGCGTCGGCGACGCGGCGATAGCGCGCCATCTCGGGGCCCGGCTTCCGCGGCAATTCCCCCCAGGGCGGCGGCGTGGCGAGGGGGGGGGGGTCGTTGCGCAGGCGGCGAATTTCGCGCCAGGGCAGTGAGTTCGCGCGAACGAAGGCGGCAAATCGCCACGCTGCAATGGCGATGCCGAATTTGCACCAATCGCAATGCGCCCGCGAGATTCCGCGCGCGCGCCGCCGCCGCGTTGGCTTCGATTGCGTTGCGCTGCCTCTGGTGGAACGCCGCGGAAGGTGCTTCCTGGGCGCGAAACTGGGCGCTTCCCGCGGCGCGTCCGCAGTGATATTTGCGATGCAGCGCTCGCCTCGGACTGAGTTTGGTCGAATCGTCTTCCTTGACCTAGAATTGCAAGTCAAAGTTGGCGCGTTGCCAGGCGCGGTTCGGTGGCCGCGAAAAACTCACGCGGTCGAGCGCGGAATTCGTTGGGGGGGCAGAAGCGAGGCGCCCTTGCAGCCAGGCAGGCGGACTCGACCCACTGACGCGCGTGCTCGGGGGCGTCCTCCTTCGGGCACGGGCACGGCAGCTATGCCGCGCACCATGGGCCAGGTTTTGCATCTGAAAAAAAACGAAGAGGTAAACGAAGAGGTACATGTCGCCAGAGACTCCGCGGATCAGTTCCCCACGCCATGAGTTGCTCCCATAACGCCAGCGAACTTTTTCATGTCGTCATCGTGGTCTTGCATCCTCTGCGCCTTCGGAGCACGGCTGGGCCGCCTCGGGTCGTTCGGGCCTTGCATGTATCCCTTCCCACGAGGTCCGCGTCCTGAACTGTCTGAGCGCGCCCGCGCGATCTGACCTGACTCATCTGCTCCTTGATGCCTCCCGCGGCGACGAGGGCGGCGAATCTGAGGGCGTGGACGCCGCGGCTGTTGGCGACGACGGGCTGGGGGGCGACTGGAGCGCCTTGATGATCTGCCGAAGTCCACCAAGTGATGCGTCTGCAAGGGGTCGCCAGAATTGCCGGGGCGCGAAGGCGAGAATATATGTGCGCCGAGCGGTTTTTTGCATAGGATTATAAGGCCTAGCCGCGGTGAAAGTCAGCCGATCTCCACCAACATGGTACTCGTTGCAAGGGGTCGCCAGGGTTGAACGGTCGTGGAGAGCAGAGCTTTGCACCGAATGGTACTTTGCATGGGATGGCGCGTGTCTTGCCGATGTGAATACAACCGATGTCCACATTTTGGTGGTTCTCGCATGAGGTCGCGTCGGTTGGGCCGGAGCGAAGGCCAGGGAACGCGCGTTGGTTTTTACTCGCAGCGCGGGGCGGGGCTCAAGCTGAGACGATCTCGCAATCAGCCGATGGGCGCCGCGCCCCGTCGTTTGGCGCGGGGTCGCGGCGGGGATCGCGGCCGGGGATCGCTTTGGCTCCAGTCGGCGACAGTATTTGGCAGAGGGCCAGAGTCATGCAATTATGGGATTCAAAACGGATCACGATGGCTGGGGCAGATCAGCCCACCCCGCCCTGATCCCATTCCGTAAGATCGGCTTGTCCTCTGATCGCGCCAACGCGGCCGCGCATCCATTGCGCCTTCGGAGCGCAGCTGGGCTGCCTCAGGGCGACCTCGGGCCCTGGTTGGGCATTGTTTCAATCTTCTCCCATGAGGTCGATTTCCTCAACAATTTGAACGCGCCGGCGCGACCTGATTCATCTGCTCCTCGACGCCTCCTGAGGCGACGGAGACGATTGAGATGAGGGCGCAGATGCCGTTGCATCCTGCGGCGGCGGCGAGGTGGGGAGCGATTGGAGCGCCCGGGAGCGCGCAGGTGCGACTTGTAGAAACGGGGGCGCGCCGTGAAGATCAGCCGATGACTACCAAATTGCATCCGTTGCAGGGGGTCGCGGGGGCTCGGAAGAGCAACTGCGCACCGCAGAACGTTTCTGCGCGCGCGGGCGGGGGCGATCGGGGCGCGCGCGACCCGCCCGCGGGCGCGGGGATCGCGATGGGTTCAGAAGTTCGACGATCAGAGCGCGAGGGGTTCAGGGTTCAGTCACTAGCTCACAAAGGCTTGCGCCCATCATCCCCCCCCGCCGTCAGACCTTCCCTTAATGTCGATTTTTTAATCGCGTCAGCGCGGTCTTGCGCCACCTGCGCTTTCCGAGCAAATCTGGGCCATCTTGGGGCGCCTCGGGGCGTGTCCGGGCCCTTTGTTTCCCGATGCGCGTCGCCCCCCCCCGCCCACTCTGAACGCGCCCACGCGATGTGATTCATCTGTTCCTCGACGCCTCCCGCGACGACGAAGGCGGCGAAGATGGGCGCGCGGATGTTGCCGCTGGCGGCGACGGCGAGCCTGGGGAGCGATCGGAGCGTCTGAGAGCGCTCGGGTATGTCCGAGAGACCCGGCAACTGAATCTGTTGCCAGGGACCGCGAGACCTGGATGGGTGCGAAGATCAGCCGACGTGCGCCGAGTATTTTTCTTGCATGGGCAGGTGAATGGTGTGTCGCTGCGAAGGTCAGCCAGCGTCCACGAAATTGCATTGTTTGCAAGGTGTCTGGAAGGTTGGGCGGTTGTGCAGATCGCATGCGCACCGGGTGGCATTTTCAGCACGGAGTAATCTCACGCGGAGATCAGCCAATGTCCATCATGGTTTTTTCGGGGGCACAGGTTCGCATGCGTTTTGGTAGGTGCGGAAATCAGAGAACGTGCACCGGGGTCGTTTTTCTGTGTAGGCTGCTTTTCAATACGAGACGATCTCACAGTCGGCCCGCGCGCGCCGCGCCCCGCGCGTTGAGGATCGTGGTCGAGGTAGAGCCGTTCGGAAATTGGCCGGAGGCGGATGTCAGGGTCATAAAGTGATGGGGTTCGAGTTTTAGGGTGCGGGTGTTGGTCTAAGGGCATTTGGGTAAGAGTTTTAGCGCTAGGGCGTTGGGATTCGAGTGTTAGGGTTCGAGTATTCGGCAAAGGTGATTTGGGAGTTCGCATGTTAGGGTTGGGGTTTGTGGTGTTCGGGCGAAGGCGATAGGGGGTGAAGGCGTAGGGCCCCGCCCGAAGCCCTTCCCATTACATCGACCTGCCCTCGAAACGCGCTAATGCAGTCTTCCATCCTCTGCGCCTTTCGAGCGCGCCTGGGCAGCCCTGGGGCGACCGGGCCCCGCGTTTACCCGTTCCCACGACGTCGACCTCCTCAACAAACTGCACGCGTCAACACGATTGGATTCATCAGTTCTTCGGCGGCCCTTGCGGCAGCGTGGACGGTGAGACAGGAAAGATGCGGACGTGGATGGTATTGCTGGTGGCGACGGCGAGCTCGGGGGCGCCCGGGGGTCGACTGACGCGCCAGGGGGCGTCGGGGACACTCGGGGGCGCGGTGTAGACTCCAGCCGATGTCCACCAAATCACAGTTGCGGCAGGGATCGCGAGGGTTGGATGGATGCGAAGATCAACGTGTGCATAGCAGTTCGTATTCTTTTAGGATGGTGAGTGTTGGGTCGTTGTGAAGGTCTGCCGAGGTCCACCGCGTGAAATCTGTTGCCAGGGATCGCGGTAGCTCAATGAGCGCGAAGGTCAGCAACGTGCACCGATTGTAATGTTGTTGACAATGGTGCGTTATGGGTCGCTGTGAAGATCCGTCGATGTCCACCGAGTGGTTGGGTGAAAATGTGCACCGAGTCGCAATTGCTGTAAAGGGTGGAGTCCAAGGTGATACGATCGCACGAACAGCCGTTGCGCACCGCGCCCGCTTTTTCTCCATGGGATCGCGGCGGGGGGGGGTCGCGGCCCCAGGCTGTTTCGGGGTCGGCCGGGAGCTGGCCCGAGGGGGGTGAAACAGGCAATGCAGCTATTGGATCATAGTCTCAGAGTTATAGGGCCGCCACAGCGCGATCTGACTATCCCTGGCACCTCTTGCGGCGACGAGGGCGGTGAAACGGTGAAGCTTCGGAGGTGGTTGCTGCTGTTGTTGGTGGCGATGGCGAGTTTGGGGATATTTGGGGGACTTGGGAGCACGTTGTGAAGATCATCTGGTGTTTACCACAGTGCATGTTTCGCTCGGGAGGCGAGGGTTGGACGGGGTGTCAAGGTATCAGATCTGTACCGAATGGTTTGTGTACTTTGTCCAGGATGGTGAGTGGTGGGCCCTCGTGAAGGAAGGTCAGCCGATGTCTCCCAAATGGTATGTGTTGCCAGAGATTGAGACGATTGGATGGTTGTGAAGATCAGCATACGTGCGCCGATTCGTTCTTTTGTAGGAGATGGTGAGTGTTAGGCCGATGTGAGTATGAACCGACGTCCATCACAACGTATGTGGCGCAGGGGATCGCAAGGACTGGGTATGTGAGACCATCAGGAAATACGCACGTCATTTTTTGCTGAGAACGGAGCTCAAGGGCCGATGTGCACCTTTTTTGGGGGGCAGCGGATTTCAAAACATCTATGTTCTGGGGGCTGGTTCTATTCAGTCGGGAGCGGGCCAGAGGCGGGTGTCGGGGCTAACCAGTTAGCAGATTAGAGATGTAAGGTATTAGCCTTGTGCTTACAGTGCCAGGGTTAGGGCGTCAGGGTTTCCGAGCCAAGGCGGTGGCGCGGCCAGCGCGGCGAAAGGGGGAAAGCGGGGGGTTCAGACCTTCGAGGCCAGGGGGTGGGGGAGGGACGGTCCAACCCCCCCTCTGTCAAACAGGGCAGGCAGGGTCGTGAACGACGGATCGGGAAAAAGAGAAGACGGGGGGGTCCCGGACCCCTCCCCTGGGGGAACCAATGGCGCGCCCTCGTAGAAAGAAGCCTCAAGCGAATGTCAAATCTTGAAAAGGCCGCACTTTATCCGTGCGTTTGCTGCATCTCTGTTAAAACCAAAAGATAAAAAAAAACGCCTTCCATGTTTGTCCTTGGTGCAGCTTTGAAGACGCATGCTCGCGGCGTTGAAGGCGAACCTTTCCTTGTTTGAGCACGGTCCGCGCTTCATCATTGAAGTTTTTGCAAATGCTGAGGACGAATGTTCGCGGCGCGGCAGCGTGTGCGCTCTTTTTGAAAACAGTCCGCCCTCCAGCGTTAAAGTTGTTGAGTACGTTGAAGACGAATGAGCGCGACACCACGGCGAAAATCCGACTTTGAAAAGGGGCCGCCCTCCACATTTGAAGCTGATGCAAATTCCGAATGTGTGCGGTGCTACGGCCAGAGATTTATCTTAACAATTGTTTATCCCAGCTTTGAAGGTGTTGCAGGCTTTTCCAACGAATGCGCCTGACGTTCGGCGAGAGTTCCGCTTTGAGAAAAAGGACCGCCCGCCATTTTTGAAGCCGTTGCCAATAGTTCAGACGTATGTGCGCGGTGCTAAGGCGATAGTTCTAGGTTGACATGAAACCGCCTTTCTTCTTTGACAGTGCTGTATACGATTTCATCGAAAGCGTGCGGCGCTAGGGCATTAGTTCCAATCAGAACCCCCCCTCTACCCTTGAATCGACTGCCTGCTTCAAGCTTCAGGATCATGCACGGTGAGGAAATCTCAGGCGAAACGCCCAGCCCGCCTTACCGACACGCCTGGGGGTGCGGCAGAGAGGATGTGCGCATAAGGAAATAAGACGGAGAGGGTAGGAGGAGGAGCTGGGAGGACGATTTACATCTGTTCCCATGGTCGCAGGGGTGTCTCGCTCTGCTGCCCTGAACCTTATTTGTGGGACATGGCCGCCGATGCCCCCCAAGAGAAATGTGGTGGGTGGAGGAGTTGCGATGATGAGTTCTGCAGTTCGCATTGGAGGGAGTAGGATGAGGACGACGGCGAGCAAGAAGAGGTCGAGGAAGCGAAGGAGGAGGGAGGGTGGCAGGAAGAGAGCCAAGGACGGCGAGGTAAGAGGGGGGTGAGCAATGGAAGAAGCATGGGGGGAGGAAGGACGTAGGAGGCGCAGGGGCGGTTTGAGACCCGCTGTCGGCAGGACCTGCTCGCGCAGGCCGGCGACGCCGGCGGGGGCTGCGACACGGCGCTCTCCGAGCTCTACGCCGCCGCCGTGGGGGTGCAGCAGCAGGCGAGGTGCGTGCCGCCCCTCACCCCCCTCTTTAGAGCGGCCCCTCTGCGCTGGAGGGGGAGGAAGGAAGGAAGGAAGGAAGGAAGGAAGGAAGGAAGGAAGGAGAGGGGGAAGGGCAAGTTTCCTGTTAAGCACTCTCCCCTGTCCCTTCGTCTTCTCCTCTAGCCCTTCATTTTTTTTTTTTCTCTCTCTCTCTCTCTCTCTCTCCAGCCCTCGCCCCCTCCTGCTTCCGCCCCCCCCCCATCCCCTGTTCCCCCACGGGCTCAGAGCCAGCAGAATCATCCCAGATAGAGAGGAAGCCGTCAAAATTTGGGGAACGAAGAATGCCACAAAACATAAAAACTCGGAGGTCCGCGCGGATTTCTCAGATCCGCGCTGGACCCCCCTGGCGGCGCCTCCGGCGCCGCCCCTGGCGCGCTCCGCGCGCCAGGGAGGGGGGTCCAGCGCCGGCCCGAGAAATCCGCGCGGACCTCCGAGGTTTTCTGTTTATGTGTCATTATTCGTTCCCCTAAGAATGGAAAGAAGTCACGCCCAGGGTGGAGGTCGGGCCTCCGCTTGGATGAGCATTTGCGCCTCGGGTGTGCCTCCCCGTCGGTCCTCCTGCGGACCCCGCTTCCCTGGCGCGGCCTGCGCGCCAGGAGCGAGAGGGGGGGGGGCCGGCGCCGACCCACGAAGTCGGTGCAGACCTCGGAAGGCTATGGCGGGCTGTTTCTTGAATCCCAGGTCTTTTTGAGGGTCGGGGACGACAGCTGGGGTGGTGTGGCGTATACTTTTTGTTTCCCGATGTCCCGGAAAAACTGCGAAAAATGTATACACCAGGATCCTGTATACAGCAGAATCCGCGTTCCTGTGCGAATTTCAGCGCAGGGGCGGGAAAAGCGTCGGTGTATAGAGTTCGTTTCCCTACTATGGCCATGTCGCTCGTTCTCTTACTCGGTGGCGAGCGAGGGGGGGAGACGAGAAGGAGGAGGCCCTCTCGGAAGGTGCGGAAGTCCCCCAGCCTTCTCGAGACGTTTTCTCGGCCTTGCCCAAAGGCAGAACAGCTTCTCAGAAGGCGCGAGGGCTTCTGAGAAATCCCGGCGCCTTCTGAGGAGGCCCTCTCCTTCTCATTTCCCCCCTCGCTCGCCGCGGATTTACGTTTGGCTGAGTCTTTGAGTCTCCAGGCCCTTCCTCCTTCCCTGCATGGTCCTAGGTGACGGACGTGTGCTGCTCCACCTGCGTCGGGGCTTTCGCGGCCGTGCCCCTGGAGGTGGACTCGGAGTCCGCCTTGAGCGACGCGCTGTCCAACAAGAAGGTCGTCGTCGTCGCAGTCGTCTCCTCGCGCCTGCTTCGTCTTCGGCGGAGGCGGAGGAGAGAAGTTTGAGAAGAAGGGGGACGGAGGAGGACGGTATGATCGAATTTAAAGGGTCGAGGATTTTGCTGAACCTGTGTTTGGCCGTGTGGGCCATTCAATAGGGGCTGTCACACAACATGTTTTCTAGCTAGGAAGCGTTGCACACATAGGGCAGACATGTATGATTCGCTATTTTGTGCCCTTGCGTTCTCTATCGTCCTGGTGCTCCTCCTCCTCCTCCTCTTTTTGAATTCCCTTGGTCGCGCAAGTTTGGAGAGTGACTCACAGAACTTTCTATACGAGCGCATAGCATAACGCCAGTGTTGTTTTATGTTTGGGCTTGCGCTGCATGGGGACAGCACCGCTGCGTGTGACTGCCAATGCTGGCAACCATACTGCCAACTCCCTCTGCTGGTGCAGCCCTTTTCTCCCTCTGCGGTGCGTTGCGCGGATGGCACGTCAAATGAGACACCACGCTCCCAGCGGGTGCCTCACGGACTGCTTAGTCCCGGACGGCCCTCGGGATCCTTACGTATGGAGTTTGGGAACGCCCACAGAAGTTCAAGTATTTGCGAAATGTGCGCCCGTATTTTTCCATCGAAGCAAACCGCGCCATCTTGTGTACAAGTCTTCTGGGAGGAATGTGGTTGGAAGGAGAGAAAGACGATATGGTGAAATAGAAAAACGCGCGACGGCCCACTGCTGCCCTTCCGTGGGCCACGAAGGTGGACTACGACATCACCCTGACCTCCAGCATCGAGGTCAGCAAGCCGCTGTGGGTGGCCGGCCATCGGGGGGCGCCAACTGCACGTTTGCACCGAGCCCTGCCGGGCCTGGAAGAGCGATCGTTGGTGCGCCCCGGCATCCCCCATGGGCTCTTTTTGGGGTCCCTCCGCGGGTCCCAGGGCTCCCGACCTCTCCTTCGGGGGCGGCCCATTTTCGAGTACCCCGTGCCGTGCCAGACGACGGCCCCTGGGTGGGGAGAGGGGAGGCGAGGTCCCCCGGGTGGGGGGAGCGGGTGCTGGGGGAGGTGGGGGTGGCTGGGGGGGTGGGCTGGGGGAGCTGGGGGTCGGGTGCGGCCCACGGATGGGGGAGGCGGTGTGGGAGGGCACGGCCCCCGTCTTGGGGCCCTCTTGGGAGCCTCTTAGGCCATCTTGTGGCGGTCTTGGGGGCCTCTGGGGCCATCTTGGAGCGTCGGGCGCCCGGCCCTCTCGGGAGGCCTCTTGGATGTCTTTGGGGGCGTTTGGGGGGCCTCTCGGCCTCTCTGGGGGCCATCTCGGGCGTCTTGGGCCAATCTCTCCGCGACTCGAGGCCGTTTTGGGCCGTGGGGTGTAAGGGGCGGGGAAGAGCGCCAGGGCGGTCAGCTCATACAGAAAGATCGTCCACCGGGAGGAGGCGGAGGAGGAAGGAGAAGGTCAGGGAGGGGAAGGATGAGGAGGAAGAGGAGCTAGTGGAGCAACCCAGAAGCGGATGAGTCAATGCCCCCGCCGCCCTAGGCCAACCGTGAGGACCATCTCTGTTGGAATCGGCGCGAGCTCGCATAGGAGGATTACCGCGGCGAAATGCACAAAAGGCGGCGCGCGCCACAGAAGGCAGCAGCGCCGCGAAGCGCGGCAGACGCCCGGGGTCGCAGGCGTCTAGAGCCGATGCGCGCGACCAGTGTGCGAGGCGGCAAAAGCAAATATAACGCAGCGCAGCTAAAAGTGTTCTAACGGTTTCGAGGCCGCACGTAACGACACGCCGCTCTCGGTCGTGCCGCCCCAATGAGCCACCCGAGGGGCACCACTTCCTCGGGGACAACCCGCCCCCACGCACGCCACGGCGGGGGAACGTGACCGTGGGAGGAATGGGCGGGGATCCTCCAATGAGCCCCCCCCCGCAGGGGGGACCCGCGGCACCGCCCGAGCCCTGGCGGAGTACCAGGTGGGCCACCGCAAGGGTGTCGCAGCAAAACATCGTATAAACCCACAACCCAGGCACGGGAAAATGGAAGGAAAGGCCGTGCACTGGAACCTTGGGCTATCCCCGCCCGCCGCACGGGCGAGTCGGGAACAGCCCCGAGGTCCCAGGCACGACGCTTCCCCCGTGGCGCAGGCTGGGACGCCATACGACTACCTTTTTTCTCTCCCCCAGGGTCCCGAAGGAACATCTGGGGTGACGATCGGGAGGCTACCCGCCTGCTATCCTGGGGAGGGATCCCAGCGGCACAGGTGCCAGGAGGAGGAGGAGGAGGAGGAGGAGGGGGAGGAGGAGGGGAAGGGAGGAGGGGGCTTTGACTGTACTAAGCTCGTTGCAAGTAGCTTGAGCGCAGCGGCCAACAGGACTGGCACAGGCTGCACACGAGAAGCCCGAGAGCATGGACGCTGAGCTGCTTCCGCTCTCGTCCCGAAAACTGTCGGGAGAGAGGTATTGGCGCTGCAGGAGGGGAAGAGAGGAATCTTAGAAGAGAGAGGAGGAGTTTGCAGCGCCGTGCGAAGAGAGACATCAGCGGGGCCCTGCTTCGTTGCCCATAGGAGGGGGAGGGAGGAGGGGGAGGGGGAGTGGGCCACGGGCGCCGCTCCCCCCCAGGCAAGAAGCGCCTGGCGGGGGCCCCGGGCGTGGAGCTCTCGGGGGGCGCGGCGAAGACCGTGGCCAACGTCGCCGACGGCGCGGCGCTGGAGCTCCGCGGCCTCACTGTGCGGGACGCGGCCGGGGCCGCCGTGTGCGTCAACCACGGCGGGGACTTGATCGCCCAGGACCGCACGGGAGGGTGAGCGGTGATCTTAGCCCGGGAGGGGCGCAGACGAGGAGGGGGAGGAGGACGAGGAGGAGGAAGACAAGGAGGACCAGGAGGAGGAGGAGGAGGAGGAGGAGGAGGAGGAGGAGGAGGAGGAGGAGGAGGAGGAGGAGGAGGAGGAGGAGGGGGGAGCCCTCCGTCCTCCCTCCAACCTCCCTCCTCCTCCTCCTCCTTTTCCTCCCCATCCTCCTCCCCCTCCTCCTTCTCCTCCTTCCCGTCCTCCTCCTCCTTCCCTTTCTCCTCCTCCTCCTCCTCCTGTCTCAAAGCGTCCTGCGTGAGCGTTTGGCTTTAAATTGCGTCTCCCACAATACTGCCTTTTCGGGACAGGTCCAACGCCTTTGCCTGCGCGGACCAGCAAGAACTCAAGGAGTATGCGACGGCTGTCTGCAACGACACAGCAGCCCGACACTTCTCTCAGCGCGTCCAGTATGCCTCAGCCAGATTACGCTGTGTGGATGGGTTTGCGGGGTTTGACAATCGTCAGGGCACGCTTCCTGTGGACACAATGGCAGGACCATGCTTTCTGTCGCAATTTCACGATGCACTGGACGATCCCAGGCTGCACAAGTACGCCATCAATATCGAGTGCACTTGGATGCCCGAGGTCTTGCGCGAACCACGCGCCTCCCAGAGAGTGGATGTTGCTCGGGGCACGTACGCGGACGAAGTGGCGCACACGCTGTCCATCACCACATTCGCAAACTTCATTACGAAGGTTCGGTTGTTTCACGACGACTTCAGCGCTGCCATCAATCCGCACGGGTACCAGCAGAATTCTGGCAATGCGGAGAGCTTGGTCAGGTTCGTCGGGACAGGGTCTGGCGCGCGCACGAAGACTGCATACACGACCCGGAAGGAACATCGGACTTGGCGTGGTCAAGCGAGCAGTTCGGTATTTGGGACCACTTCCGATTTGACGACGGCCTGTCTGTCGAACGTGAGTGCCGTGTTGCGGCAACCAGACAAGCGCATCACGGGTTCGGCAACGTCTGGGTCAGGTGCCGCAGCGCACGGTGGAAGTTCGTCCTGTTCAAAAAGTCCTCGTGTACGGCATTGCACACATAGCGCTCGTCTGCTTCATTTTCAACCAGACGGACCGCCAAGTCATCGACAGCACGGTCGTATCGAGTCGTATCGCTGGCGCGCAAAGTTTGTCACGGTGCTTGCGCCATCACTGAGCACACCAGCGGCGCCAAGAGCTACTGGGCCCAGTCCAACCATGACGTCCTCCGTAAATTGCGACTCTTGCCTGTTGAAGTGGAGCTTCGAGTGCAGCGGCTACAGTGGATGCAGGCGATGGTCCAGAAACCCGCTGGCAACGTGCTGGTGTTGGCTGTCTTGTACGGCGCCCTCGAGGAGGACAAGAAGAATTTGTTTTTGATGCCCGCCGTCTGCTCCCAAGTGCACACCGGTGGGCGTTGCAAGTCGCCGACGATCTGGCTGCGTTGGTAGACTTCACTGGCTCCGAAGACATTGCCGACGCTGTGCAGTACCCGTCCCGGCTGTTCGCGGACATCGGTTCACGTTTCTTTTTTGTTGTTGTTCATCTTCCTGAATATGATCCTCCTTATCCAGGTTGCGTTCAGATTCCTGATGGCAATTTGCAACACGTATGTGGTATCGTGGGTACGTGTGGGGTTTTGTGCAGTCGATCATTCAGTACAGCAAACAGGCTACGTGTACATCAATTGCAGAATAGACATGGGGGCGCATGGTAAACACTGGTGGGTACATTTATGTGCACGTACTAATCAATATATCAGTTGTCGCACTGTACTTGCCACTAGACGTATCACACAACATCACCTTCAAGCGAACCTCCGCCGTGGTTTATGCAGGGGGCGTGGGCGAAGGGATCTAACACGATACTAGAGGTCATCCCACTGTCATATCCCATCAAATGCCCGCTCTGCGAAGATGACCGTCGTCCTTTGGATCAAGATGCGTATTTGTTTGCATTTGCACGCTCATCTCCAGGCGGATGTTTGGTTCGGCTTCGAGTGCCTTGAAAAAACACGGCGTACTCGTGGGAGCTCTTCCTCGGCCACGAAACGGAGCCGAAGTCGAAGAAGAGAGCTGGTGGAGGAGTTGACGAGCCAGTTTTGATCCGGGAGTTCATTGGAGTCATCCCGAAGCTCGGTCTGAAGAGCGCGCAGGAGATGAGGGCCGTCATGGGCGTCACTTTCGCGCGCTTTCTGCGTGATGTCACTATCGATATCGCGCAGGCTGCTGCAACCTAGACCACGAAGCATGCAAGCCGCACGAAATGGAAGGTCAGGGCGCGGCGAAGGCGGTCCCGATCCGCCGTGTTTCGTCGCCATGTTGGTGGCGTTGCTCGGTCGCGCGGCCTGTCTGGAGTCGTGCAGGAAAGCCTTCGTGTAGTTCCTCGAGAAGTTCCCGCCGCCGTCAGAGCCGGGCACGTCCGCAGAAAACATTCAGGCCGTCGTTTCTTGTTGCCGTTTGAACAAGGCGCGCGACGACACAGTGAACAAGCTGTGCTTCCGTTCGAGCGGTCCGGGACACCAGGACATGGAAGCTCGCGTCTGCCCCGCGATCGTGGCCATCTACGCTCAGAAGCAGGCCGAACGCACGTGCGGCCAGGCGCCCAAGGGCTCTCTTGAGAAGAGAGCGCGGGAGCTCGTGACCCATCTTGGTATGGACAAGCAGCGATTCCGGTCGCGTCTGCCATCGCAGGCTTGACAGAATCATGTGTTTTTCCAGGTTGCCACGCCCCCCTCTGCTGCTTGCCTGCTTTCTCCTTCCCCTCCTCGCCTCCCTTGCGCGGCTTTGCCGTTGCGCTCTCTTCTTCTTCTAGCTCCGTGGCCTCTCTCGCTCCTCTCGCCCATCGTTCCCCCCTCCTGCTGTCGCCCCCCTTTCGTCCTCGTCGTTCTTGGGGCGCGGCAAGCGGCAGCGTTTTTAAACGAAGCGCGCATCTTCCAGATGTGCGCGCACACGCGTCATTCCACTCATCGTCCCAGAGCGATCGGCCAGCCCGCCCCGCATGGCGGCCTCCGGCGGCCCGCCGCAGCGGAGCGGGCGCAGTCGGCATTTGGCCGGGCTTTTTCTCCCCCCTCTTTTTTTTTCGCCCCCGCCGCCCCCTCCCCCCCCTCCCTCTCCCGCCCCCGGCAGGCTGCGAGGCGCCCATCGCGGCGCGGTTATTTCCGATGACCAGGTCTGCCTGATATCCTCGCCGCGCGCAAAGGATCGCGCCGCGCAGAAGAGCCGAGCCGAGCCTCCTCCCCTCCCCCTCCTCCTCCTCTTCCTTCTCCTCCTCCTCCTCCTCCTCCTCCTCCTTTTCCTCCTCCTCCCCCTCCTCCTCCTCATCCTCCTCCTCCTCCTCCTCCTCCTCCTCCTCCTCCTCCTCGCGACCAGCCCAGGGATGGGGAGCTGGTCGGGGCTTATGTCGGTTTTCGCTGCCATGTTGGGGGCCTCCGCAGGGTTGGGAGGGCCGGGAGGAACTTGGGCCTCACAAGTTCATAAGGTCCAAGTAGATCGATTCGTCGCATCGCCCCGTATCGAAGTGGAGTCCGACTTGATCCGGCGTCGCCATTGCACCGACGTCGCCGATGCATCGGCGATGCATCGGCGATGCGGCGCGATCGTCCGACCCCGTCCACTCCTGCCCGTGGTGGGCCCCAGAAACGGCAGCTCCATTTTCCCCATCGTTCCCGAAAAAGTGTCCTGAAAACGCAGACGGCAACACCAACGGCGACCAGAAACGGCAAAACAACGGTTCCAGGATTGGAATCGGAACCGGAACCGGCAAAATAACGGCGACGGAACCGGCAACAAAAGCGTGTCGGAACCAACAAAAAACAGCAACACGGTACCGGTGAACAAACGGCCTTGTCGTTCCCGGTGCCCACTAAGCTCCTATCCCATTTGGGAGGCCTCCAGGGGGGGGGGGCTGAGCACAGGGGGCAGCAGGAGAAGCAACAGGGACATCGGCGGGAGGCGAGAGAAGAATGGCCGCGGCAGAGGGGGGGTAGTCATCAGTTGGAGCAGGGCGAGGAGGAGGAGGAGGAGGAGGAGGAGGAGGAGGAAGAAGAGGAAGAGGAAGAGGAGGAGGAGGAGGAGGAGGAGGAGGAGGAGGAGGAGGAAGAGGAGGAGAAGGAGGAGGAGGAGGAAGGGGTGGGAGAAGGGGCGGAGGACGGAGGGCGGGATGAGGAAGACGGGGACAGGAACGTGGAAAACGAATCGGAGGGCGAGGAGGCGTCGCAAAAGGAGGGGGCGGAAGACGAGGAGACGGAGGGCGAGGAGGAGTCGGAAAAGGATGGGGGCGGATGAGTAGGAGGGGCAGAGTTGCAGGAATCCGATGGTGTATTCTTCGAGGTCTTGTCTGCCACGTCGGCATTCGCGGGGCATCTGCTTCCCAGATCGCCGACGCGGCAGACAAGTTGCCAGTGATCCTTCTCAGCTGAGCAGTTGTGTGCGCTGGAAGGCGGGTTCCTTACGGCGCTGCGCGCCCCTCCCCGTAGTCGGGATAGCGCTGCGGAGGCGGTGCCCTTCGCCTGCTTCCCAGACGCTTCGGCGGATTACTTGTGCGAGCTATCAGACAAGGTGTTCCCTGAGCTGCTGTTGAGACCTTTCGGGTTACGCGTGAGCCGAACTAGTGCACAATGTGTTCCCCGAGTTGGTCTGGAACGCCTGGGGGGGATCACGTGGGCGAGAGTGAGCTCAATGAGGTATGTCGATCTGGTCTCTTTATCGCCAGTCTTGGGGGTCTCCCTGAAGTGGCCTTGGGCTCGCGTGGCATAGAGGCGGATCGTTTGGGGCCCAGTGGGGCTGCCCAGAGCCGGCTTGTGTTCACCAGGGGGCTTCTTTGATTTGTTGATGACCGAACGTCTTGGCCACAGTTCGACCAAGCTATGCGATTCAATGTGGTCCCCCTGGGATTGTGGGGACCCATCTGGGAACGCGCGCGGGAGGAAGAGGAGAAGGAGGATAAGAGGAAACCACAAAAGAGCAATGAGAATGAGCCTGGCGAAGGACCCAACCATATGCAGTCAGTCGTGGGCACCGTCGTTGTATGCACTACATTCGGTGAAGCTCCCTAAAGGCCCACGAGTCTTGCCAGGGGGTGTGCCGATATGGGTGCGGTGGGCGCATGTGAGCGCTGGCATGTGGGCCTTCGGTGGAGCTCCCTATGGGGCCACGAAGCGTGTGAGGGGTGTGCCAAAATGGGCGCGGTGGCCGCATGCGAGCGATGGCATCTGAGCCGTCGGTGGAGCTCCCAGTGGGGCCACGAAGCGTGTGAGGGATGTGCCAAAATGCCTGCGGTGGGCGCATGCGAGCGCTGGCATCTGGGCCTTCAGTGGAGCTCCCAATGGTGCCACGAAGCGTGTAAGGGGTGTGCCAGAATAGGCGCGGTGGCCGCACGAAGAGGAGTAGAGGAGGAGGAGGAGGAGGAGGAGGAGGAGGAGAAGGAGGAGCAGGAGGAGGAGGAGGAGGAGAAGTCGCGGGGAGCTCTCTACAAAACAAGGCATCAACACCATAGGATGGTTGGGAATGACATGACTTGGGATTGGCAGAGAGTGCTTGGGAGCTCCCCCAACTCCTCTTTGAGGCCTCAGGGCAGAAGCCTCTTTGAACCTCAGTTGACGATTTTGGTGGCCTCGTTGGTCGTCTTCGGCGGTTGAAAGCAAACGTGGAGGACAAACCAAAATGGCGTCTTGTTGGTTTGAACAACAACGCCTCTGTGGCCAAACGTTTGGGTTCAGAGCTTGAGTACATTATCGGACCAGGTATTCCCTAAACCGTTGTGGAAATCTGTCGGGGACCGCCTAGAGGAGCATGAAGCGGAGGAGGATAGGAAGAAAAAGGAGGGTTGGTGGAGGAGATGTCTTGGGAGCCCCTCGGGTCACTAATGGAGCCTCTTGGGGCTTCCGAAACGTTTCCTGAAGACCTCTTGAAGGTCTCTTGGAGACCTCCTTGGGCTTCTGGGGACTTTGGAGAGCTTCTCGCGAGCTTCTTTGGCCGTCTTAGAGCGTTCCTGGCCCGTCAGACGTCGTCGGAAGGTGTCTTGGGGGCCTCTCTGAACCAATTTGGGGCCCTCTTGGGGCGTTTCAGGCCCGTCTTGGAGGCCATGTTGGGCGTCTTGGAGACCTCGTGGACCGTCTTGGAGCCCTCTTGAGTCTCTCTTGGGAGCCTCTGGGTTCCGTCATGGGGCCATCTTGATCTTGGAGGCCTTTTGGGTGATCGTGGGCCGATCTTGGGGGTCTGTTGGGCCGTCTCGGGCCTTCGAAAAGCTGAAACAGCGTACATGCCAAAATCCTGCAAACATTTCAGACAAATCAATGATTTTGGTTTCTTCGGGCCTTCCAGGATTACGTCTTGGAGGCCACTTGGGCCATCTTGAAAGCCTCTCGGGCCCCTCTTGGGCCTTGGTGGGCCATCTTGTAGGCCAACTTGGGCCATCTCGGCCGTCTGGAAGGCATCTTCGAATCCATCTTTGGCCATCTTGGGCGAGGAAGGCGTTGACGTGTACACTTTCCTGGTGACCAGCGTGCTGGGCCGAAGCCCCAGGGGGAGTCTAAAAGAACCGACATTTTCTCAGAAGTTCAGCACGCCAGGCACCCGGGTGGCAAGAACGCAGGGGGCGGCGGATGACGGAAAGCGCGCATAGCGTTGCGATCTGTTAGCCGGGAGAAATAGCAAGGGGGAGTGTGGGGGGATACAGTCGGCCTGGATTAGTAGGTCGACGCTGCCAGCTCAAGGGTACCCTTGTGTCCTGTGCCTCGCGACACGTGCCTTTTGGCATTCCTGTGGCAACGTGGCCCTCGGAAGGGTCCTGTGTCCTCTCGCGTGTCCTCTCCAATCAATTCTGCCTGTAGGCGGGGCGGGCACCCAGATCGAATGGTCCCAATTTCAGTCAACCAGATCGAGTGGCCCCAGTCAGCCCCAAGAGCGCCCAAGAGACCCCCTATGACGGCCCAAGAGGCTCCCAAGACGGCCTCACATGTCCCCACGACGGCCTCTGGGAGGCCCACGAGGGCTCGAAGACGGCCCAAGACCGCTCCGAGAGGGCCCAAGATCGTTTCAAGACGGCATAAGAGGTTTTCTAGACGCTCCAAGGGGCCCCCAAGAGGACCCCCCCAAATGCAAAAGCCGTCCCATTCCGTCAGGTAAGCGTACATTCTGAGCAGATTCGTTTCTTCGGTCTTGACAGCGTCCACGACGGCCCAAGAGGCCCCCGAGACCGCCCCACGACGGCCCACGAGGTCCCCAAGAGGGCCCCAAGACGGCCTAACTGGACTCCAAGACGGCCCAAGAGAGTCCCAAGAAACCCAAGATAGGCCTTGGAGGTTCCCAAAAGGTTCACAATAGAGCCCCAAGAGGGCCACAGGAGGTCCCCAAGGGGGTCCCGAGAGGGCCCCTAGAGGGCCCAAGCCCCCCAAGACGGCCCAAGAGGGCCCCGGGAAGGCCCAGGAGGGCCCCAAGAAGGTTCAAACGAGCCCCAAAAGGACCCCCAGGAAGTCCCCGAAATGCAATACTCATTGAGTTTCGCAAGGTGTTGTTGCTTGATTTTGCACGTCGCCCCAACGCCTTAACATCAGCAGGGCTCCAAGACACTAAGCCAGCGATCTTGCGCCCTCACAAAATTCACGCGCTTTCTATTCCAGTGCCAAAAGTCCCGCCACCGTGCCTGGGTTGTTGGTCTCGTTCGGATGTTCGTTCGGATCTCGTCGAGACCTCTCGGGGGCCTGGAGGCAGTTTTGAAGCCTCTGGGGGTCTGCTGTGAGCCTCTTTTGGCCCTCTTGGAGACCTCCTGGGGCCTCGTGGAGCCTCTTGGAGGCCTCTTGGGGTCCTTGGGGGTCTCCTGGGCGCCTCTTGGGGCGGAAGGCTCCGATTTTCGGTTCGTGCTCCACCGCTTGGGCTAATCTTGAGGCCCTCTTGGGCTTTCGTGGGCCGTCTTGTGCACCCCTTCAGCCGTTTTGGGGGCCTCTTGGGCCGTCTCGAAGCGGTCTTGGTCTGGCGACGTCTTGGAGCGTCTGAGGCTCGAAAAATGAAGAATGCGCAAAACATTGAAAAACCAATCGGAATCCAATGATCTGGCCTCTCGGGGCCCTCTTCTGACGACTCTTGGGGCTTTGTTGGGGCGCCTCGGTGGTCGGCCGTTTCGAGACCATCTTGAGCGTCTTGGACCGATCCTGCGGCGTTTCGGGCCCTTCCTGGACAGTCTCTGGGCCCTCCTGACGCCCTCTCCCGGCCCGTCCTGGGGCCCTCTCGGGCCCGAAATAGTCATGCGCGAAGACGCCCCGGACCCCAGGGGCCACGCGACGCGCCCCGGCCGATTTGGCAATTTTGGGGCCGGGCCCGAGATTGACGGCTGAGGATCCAGGGGATCCAACAGGAGGCCTGAGGAGTCTCCAACTCGTGCCTCGAGTGCACGGCGGCGGATGACGGGGGGAGCCTCCAGCGTGGACCGTTTTTGTTGAATCAGGGTCAGTTTTCTCTAACAAAGGGCTGCAGGGTACGGTGGCGATTTTGAAGAATGGCCGTTTCGCCCGGGACGTCTTCGACGAAAAAACAGGTTTTGGAGGGGGCCACCGTGGCCCAAGAGGCCCCCAGGAGATCCCCAGGGGGCCCCCAGGGGGCCCAAGACAGCCCACGATGGCTCCAAGACGACCAGACAGAGCCCCTACGGAGCCCCAAGACACGCCCAGACAGCCCCAAAGACACCAGTAGCCCCAAAGAGGACCCCGACAGCCCCTCTAGGTGCCCCCAGGGTGCTCCCAGATAGCCTCAGACGGCCTCTATCAGCCCCCAGCGAAGCCTCGAAAGATCACGAGGACCCCACCCTTCTTCGACGTCCTTCTCCCCAGGCTCCTTACAAAACCGTCCTCCGTTGTCGTCGTTCTGCTTCTCCTCCTCATTCTCCTCCTCTTCGTTCCTATTCGTGCTCGTCCTCCTCCATATCTTCCTTCTCGTCCTCGTGCTTATCTTCCTGCTCGTTGTCCTCCTGCTCCCCCCGCTGCCCTCTCTGGCATCCTCGTCATCGGCCGTCGCCATTATACTGTTCTTCTCCCCTACGAGCCCAATCGGCAAAATCGGCGTTCCCGTTCTTGTCCGATCAGGTTCTTCGGGGGAGCGATTTCGCACAGGGCGCCCTGGAATGTTTTCCGAGGAGAGGTGCCAGAGTCGGACCCCAGGATTCTTTTTCAGCCAAGCGTCTGTGAAACGCGCTCGTCCCCTCCTCCCCCCTGGAAACCCTTGCACCCTATATCCCCCCTGAGACTTCGGATGCAAAAACATGTACAATCCTTCGATCGACTCCCAGGAGGAGGCGGGCAGGAAGAGGGGCCAGGGTGAGGAGGAGGAGGACCAGTGTAAGCCCAAGACTTATCAACGATATTGCAATCAACCCTCCCTCCAAGCTCCCTCATATTCTCCCACAAGTGCTCATTTTCACTGAAGGAAGTGCCCCCTTGGAAATCCTCCGATTGAAAACCTTGTTGTACGCCAGAACAGGGCTCCTGGCATTTCAACGCCGAGGAGGAGAAGGAGGATGAGGAGGATCACCATCCTTTCGCTCCCCGCTCTTCCACTCGCCCCCCGAGCCCTCGCTCCTGACCCCCCTTCTGCTCCGCAGTCCCGGAGCGGGTGGCCGCCTGGCGCTTGGCCTGACCTGGCCAGCTGGCTGCCCGCCGCCCGCGTAGCCGCCCGCCGCCGCAGGGCGTGACGTTCCGGGGCAACGCCAACCTCCACGGCCGCAGGCTGGAGGATGTCCCGACGGGGGGGAAGAGTACCGGGACGAGGAGGGGGAGAAGGAGGAGGAGGAGGAGGAGGAGGAGGAGGAGGTGGAGGAGGAGGAGGAGGAGGAGGAGGAGGAAGGGGAGGGGGAGGGGAGGAGGAGCGGGAGGAAGAGGGGGAGGAGGGGGAGAGGAGGAGGGGGAGGGGAGGAGGAGGAGGGGAGGAGGAGGAGGAGGAGGAGGAGGAGGAGGAGGGAGGAGAGGAGGAGGGGGAGGAGGAGGGGAGGAGGAGAGGAGGAGAGGAGGGGAGGAGGAGGAGGCGGAGGAGGAGGGGCAGGGGCCGCCCGCATGTGGGCGACACCCCCGTTTCGGCGCACCTCTCGCACGATTTCGTGGCCCCATAGGGAGCTCCAACGAAGGCCCCAGTGGCGCAGCCCGCGTATGGGCGACACCCCGCTTCGGCACACCCCTCGCACGATTTCGTGGCCTTATGATAGCTCCAACGAAGGCCCCAGTGGCGCAACCCGCGTGTGGGCGACACCCCCGTTGCGGCACACCCCTTCCACGTTTCGTGGCCCTACATGGAGCTCCACCTAAGGCCACAGTGGGAAACCCACATGTGGGCGACACCTCCGTTTCGGCACACCTCTCACACGTTTCGCAGCCTGTCCTACAGGAAGGGAGCTCCACCTAAGGGTAAATTCCGAAGTTGGAACGCGGGCTCGTCACGGGAACGAGAGGACCGTCAACAGAACTGAGAGACTGGTCACCAGAACATGACGGTACACACGTCAGGAGAACACCAAGTGTTGTTGCGCTGAACTCGGCGCCCTGCCGCTGAACTCAGCGCCCTGGTCGTTCGTCTATTGCTGCGGCTGCTGCTGCTGCTGCCCGTAGTACTCCCATCGCTCTTCTCTCTCTTCCCCTACGGCCGTGACCACGACGACGACGACGACGAGGAGGGGGAGGACGACGACGACGTCGACCGGCCCACCGACCGACGGACCGACCCACTGACGACGGCGAGGACGTCCGACAGATGACGGAGGACGGCGACGGCGACGACGACGATCCGGTGGCGCGTCCCGCGAGCCCGCGCCACCTCCGGCGCGCCGTTGGGCTGGCGAGCAGCGCCCCTTGGCGGCGGCACTGGGCGCCAGCGGCCCCCAGCAGGCCCCTGCCACAGTTCATCTCTCCATCTCTTTCTCTCTCTCTCTCTCTGTCCCTCTTTCTCTATCTCTCTCTCTCCCTCTCTCTCTCTCTCGCCCTCTCTCTCTCTCTCTGTTCTTCTCCTTCTCTTTCTCTTTGTTTGTTTTATCCCTCTCTCTCTGTCTCTCTCTTCCTCTCTCCCTTTCTGCCTTTCTGTCTCAGTCTTTCTCTCTCTCTCTCTCTGTCCATCTATCTCACTCTCTTTTTCCCCCTTTTTTCAGTCTCGCTTTTCGTGTTCCTTTTCACTCGGTCTCTCTCTCTCTCTCTCTTCCTCTTTTCCTTTTCTCTCTCTCTCTCTAGTTCTTTATTTTTCTTTATTTCTCTCTCTCTCTCTCTCCCTCTCTCTCCCTCTCTCTCTCTATCACTCTTTCTCTCCCTCTCTCTCTCCGGGACTGGCTTCGCCACCCGGGGCCGCGAAAACGTTGACCAGGGGAGAAAGGCTGTCCAGGACGGGCCCTGGGAGGGGCCCGGAGATCGATTGGCTTTGCTACGTTTTCGTTGTGGACCGGAGAGGAGGACGTCGACGACGTTGAAGTTGCGGAGCTTCTTTGGACGAGATTCTCGTCGCCACGGCTGGGCGCGGCGCGATCAAAGCGGGGGCCGACGACGACGGCGAGGGCGACGCCGACGACAAAGACGGCGACGACGAGGAATGCGAATGCGACTGCGACCGCGGCTGCGACGATTTGCGCGCGACTACGCGGGGGACACCTCGTAGGGGTTGACGACGGGCGACCGCTCAACAAATACAGCCGCGCGCTCCACGTGCGCTCCGCGAGACGCGGCTGCGTCGTTGCGCGCGTTGCGCGATTCCTCGTGGTTTTCCTGCTTGGGCGGTTGCCTGTCGTTGGTTGCAGGGCCATTCGCGCGTCGTGCGTCCCTGGGGCCGCCTTCGTTGATTGGTTGCTTGTCGTTGCTGCTTGTGCGTGTGGTGAGGGGCGACCGCGTCGTCGCGCGCGTCGACGTGCTCCTCGTGGTTTCGGTTGAATCGTTGCCTGTCGTCGTTCGCCGCGCGCTCATTTCTTTGGGCGCGCGTGACCATCCGCGCGCGCGCCAATGGGCGTTCGCGCCCGGAGCGGCGACAGGCAACCACTCAACCAAGGCAGCCGCGGGGGTCGACCACGGCCTACCTGGCAAACTCGGGCTGGTTACTCCCTCGTTTTCCTTTCTGAGCATGACGACGACTTTGCGTTCGTTCTCGGGACCGCCCTTCGTCTTGCGTCCTGGGAGTCTTGCCGCGCACCGTCGCGGCCTGGGCCTCCTCTCTCTGGTGGCGAAAGCGGTGCAGCGCCGCCCAGAGCTCGGACTGGGGGGCGCGGGTCGGGTGGGAGAGCGGGGAGAGGATGGGCTCCAGGAGGTAGGAACAAAAAGGGGGGAGGATGGACAAAACGGGGTGGGTTCAGGAGGTAGGAGAAAAAGGGGGGGATTGGCGAAATGCGGTGGGGGAGGAACACGCTGTTTGGGAGTGTCTCGCTGCCTTGCATGCCGCCGCCGCCGTGCTGACGCCGGCGGCGGCGGCGCCGCCGCCGCCGCCGTCGTCGCCGTCGTCGTCGTCTTAGGGCTGCATTCTGGCCACGAGTTGGATGCGATCCCAGCCGTGGCGGCGAGGGGCCGGCCCCGCAGCAAGTTCCGGAAAACCCGGTCGCTGTCGTTTGCCGCCGCAGCCGTCGCCGCCATTGTCGCGGTCGGCGTCGTCACATCTGCTCGCGCGCGGCGGGCTTTTCTCTTGGGACATCTTCCGACGTCTGTGCAGCGATATGCCACGATTTGGCATGATCTGGCTAGTCTCGCCTGGCACATCTTCGCCAGCCCAGGTTCCAAGATGCGGCTCTCGAAGAGGACCGTCCCGTTTCGCGTGAGGCGTCATTGGCGCTCGTGGTTCCGACATGTTCCGACTTGAGGTAACTTGGCATATTGTGCCACAGGTATCCTCGCATCTCTCACCTTGTTGATGCCTTGCCAGATGCTTGTCCGCCCAGATTTTGGCCGGCCACTGACCTCAGAGATGCCCTGCACCATTCTGGAGGTAGGAAAGGAGTATGGTATACATGGGTGTGGTTCGAATTATATGTAAAGGCGAATCTGGCGATGTTCTTTGTCGCAGGTAGCATCGTCATTTCCACGATTGGCACCATACCGTTTTATGCCACACCCCTTTTCCTACCTCCAAAACCATGGTGGTCTTGCCATCATCCTCGCAACCTCATGTTCCGAAATGCCCTGAGCTGAGGTGTTCGGGCAATTTTCGCGTGAGAATTCCGCGCAACTCTGACCTCGGACATGCCCTGCCCCATGGTGGTCTGGCCACTTTCGCCGAACACATCATCGACTCTTGATTCCGAGATGCCCGAAGCTGAGGTGGTCAGGCCACTATTGCCTTAACGTCCTCGAAACTCTGACCTGGGAGATGCCCTGCCCCAGGGTGGTTTGAGGAGGAGGAGGAGGAGGAAAATGGAGAGGAGGAGAAGGAGGTGGAGGAGGACGGGGAGGAGGAGGAGGAGGAGGAGGAGGAACAGGAGGAGGAAGAGGAAGAGGAGGAGGAAGAGGAGGAGGAGGAGGAGGCGGCCGAGGAACAGAATAGACGGTTGAGCAGCTTCGCCAGCGGCTGCTCCGGGAAGCCGACGGGCGTGCATTCCCTCGAGCTACCGAGCGGCGAGGCTGCCCCCCCTCCATCCTTCCCTCCTCGTCCCTGCCTCGCCCCTCAAATCCATTTGTCCTCCCTTCACGGTCTCCTTCTCCCGCCATGTTCCCGCGTTCCTTCCCTCTCTCTCTCCGTTCCTGCCTGTCCGAGCTGCCGCCCGGCGAGGTGATCGACGTCCTCTGCGACGGAGACGGCCGTTTGCAATTCTCCGGGGGTCGGAGCCCAGTGGGTTCAGGGCTTGTGCTGGGGCCTGGTAGGAGGAGGAGGAGGAGGAAGAGGAGGAGGAGGAGGAGGAAGAGGAGGAAGAGGAGGAGGAGGAGGAGAGGAAGAGAGGAGGAGGAGGAGGAGGAGGAGGAGGAGGAGGAGGAGGAGGAGGAGGAGGAGGAGGAGGGGGATGAGGTGGAAAGGGGGCGCTGACGAGTGCTAGACGTCTTGAGTCCCCTGGGGGTGCCCTCGTCGCCACGGCTGGGTCTTCAAGGCACGATGGAGGATATCTTGTTCTCTTCGGCCACACAGAGATCATCCTGGGTTGTCTGCGCCATCTTGGAAATGATTGGACTCTTTCCCCTCGCGGTGGAGGGTCTGTCCACACCCAGGGGAGGGACGTCCCCTAGTAGAAAGGGTCAGCCCCTCCAGCCGCCCCTTGGCCACAACACCAGCGTCTTACGCCTCCATCTTGGCCTCGGCAAGGTAAGACAAAACGTTGCGGTATCCAATATAGCCCCCAGGATGGCACGCGATGGTCCGAGATGCTCCAAGATGGCCTCCACTAGGCCTCCAAGAGACCTCCAGTCCGCACCGACCTCTGCCACGACACCGCTGTGTCACGCCACTACCTTGGCCTCGGCAAGGCAAGGCAAGGTGGTTATCAAGATAACCAGCAGGATGACACGCAATGGTCCAAGATGGCCTTGGCCTCTGGACCGCACTGTCCTCGGCCACAACACCAGCGTGACATCCCGTCTTGCTCTCGGCAAGGCAAGGCACGGCAAGGCGAGGCTTGTTTTCCAGATAGCCAGCAGGACGGCACGCGATGTTCCAAGATGGCCTCCACTAGGCCCACAAGATGCCTCCAGATTGCACCGACCTCGGCTACGTTACTGGCGTGTCAGCCCTTCCTGTTGGCAAGACACCGCGAGGCGGTCTTCAAGGGTGGTGGTCTTCAAGATGGGCACGACATTGGCACGCTATGGTCCAACATTGCCTTCACTTGACCTCCCAGAGGCCTCCAGACCGCCACAAGACGGCCCGAGGTGGCCACGGATCCTTTCCAGGATGTCTCCGAGATTTCAGTCACCATGTCAGTAACGTCGGCCCGTTATCGTTTTCTGGCTTCCTGTTGGTTCTGAATGCTTCATGGCCGCAAGCGAAGCCCCAGAAGAAGGACCCAGGAAGGGCCCAAGACGGGTTTGGACTCCCCCATGGGAACCCGAAGAGCGCCACCAGAGGGCGCCAGGAGAGATCGAAACGCCGACAAGGCCAGCAGCACCACCTGTATTTGACGCCATGCTGGTCGCAACGCGGGCCCAGGAGGGTTCCTCGGGCTCCAAGAAGCCCCGAGAGATCTCCGACAGGGACCAAACAACAGATCCCCGTCGGGGCCCCAAGAGCACCCCCAAATGTCCCCAACATGTCGTCAACGCAGCCCCAAGAGGCCCCCCCGAAGCACCACGGTTCGTCAGCCAGGCCTCCTAGGTGGCTCCACCGAGGACGACCTTCCTGGGCGGCGCGCTGCGGCCCCCCCCGCAGGCGCATGGCATCTCGCGCCGGCAGGCGACCGCACGACAGCACCCGGGCTCCGCCCCACAAGGGATCCTGCCTGTGCCTTGTCTTAAGTCGGGCGTGTCCCTCTACAGGATAAATATTCAAGAATAGTCCAAACATTGTCTGGGAGCGATGTTCGATATTTGTTGACGATGTTTGAGCATCTTTTGACTAATTGTTTTTGTTCGTCCAAAATCCGCCTGTGGGAGGACATGCCCGACTTGAGACTCGGCCTTCCCCTCCGCGGTTGGCCAGGAGGGGCCACCGCTCCTGGGAGGCCAGATCCTGCCCCCAGAGGCACGGGGAGGCGTGGCGGCGCGGCCTTCCCCGGACAAGGGACGGGCGGGCCTCTCGAGATCAACGCGCGGCGACGAGGCGGTTGCGGGATGGATCCCGTGGGGGCCTGGCTGGTGGGTCTCCAAAACGGCCCAAGACGGCCAGACAAGAGGAAACAGGAGACAAGGCAAGACAGCCTCCAGGTCGGCCCACGGTGGGCCCAGAACGCCCCCAGGCGGTCCCAAGACGGCCCAAGACGCCCCGCAGCAGGCCCCAAGAGGCAGAGTATGTGATTCCCCTTGTGTTGGTGTCCGTACAGTTTCGACCCAATTTATTTGCTTGTTTCGAGGGTGTCCAGGACGGCCCAGAAGGCCCCCAATATCGCCCCAATAATTGCGGCCCAAGACAGCCCCCAAACAGCCCAAACGGCCGAAGCGAGTTCCAAGACGGCTTCAGAGTCCCCCAAGAGGGTCCCACGAGACGCCCAAGGAGGCCCCACTGTGGTGAACCTGGGGGTTGGGTTGGGTTGTAAGGTACTTACAATGTAGTTGTAAGGTAGTTGTAAGGTAGCTGCAACATAGTTGCAAGTCGGTTAAGCGTTTGTACGTTCAGGTATCTTACGTAGCTGCCTTAGCAAGTCGCATAACATGTGCATCAGTTGGCCAGCACTTGTCTTACCTTATCTTGACTTAGGCCGAGTTGCAACTTGACGCAGCGACATTTTTTTGATGGTTGAAGTGGGATTTGCCCAATGTTAAAGTCAGAATGCCACTTCACATTTTTGTATGCGGGTGGGGCCCGCATTGCTCCTTTTTGATTTTCAAGCGTTGCCCACGGGGCAATTATGAATTGAATATTTCAAAAGCGTGAAGACGCATCCGTCGCTGGATTCTGTGCCAAGTGGCAATTTCACGCTCGACGAGCGACTCCGCGATTAAGTTTGGTCCGCGTTCGCAGCAACTGCATTCTCCACGATGCGTCGCAATTAGTTTTTTTCATGCATCATGCATGCATTCGGTACAACGCGTGGCATTATTTCAAGTGAGACCACATTATGTATCCAAAAAAAGATTGCTGTCGCAGCATTGGGACTTGCAGTGACGACGTGTAGGCGTGTCAGGCTCGAGCTCGGTTCTCTCTTCTGCAGCTGCTTCATTTCCAGCGCGCACGATGCAGAATTTCTATCCGCGGGAGCTGGTGGATTTCATCAACGGGCGCATCGAGATGCATCGCGATGGCAAGCTTGCCCCGATCACAGCTTGGAAGGATTGCGTCGACCGCCTTTTGAAGGATAAGGTCGCCAAGCAGATCGTCGCCGAGGCTGGCGAATTCATGATCCATCCCTCGAACCGTTCTGGTCTTGGCGTGAACGCCTACAACGACCACAGGGTTGGCGCCATGCTCAGCAAGATCGGCGTTGACCCTGCAGAGCTCGAGAAGGCTGTTGCGTTCGAGCGCATGCCCGCGGATCCGATGAGGTCGCCCCAAGTTGCATTCAATCAAAAGTTGATCTCGTCCAGCAAGGGCATGCTGGCGCCGATGACGGGCGCGGAGAGGTTCTGCACGGTGGGGGCGGGCCACACCACGCAGTTTTTCAAGGCAGTGAAGGCGGGTTGTTCCACCCCTGAACCGACCCTCGCCGACCCGACTAGTCGGAAGATGAACGCCGAGACGTTGTCCAAGGACGTGCGTTTCCACGACGCCCTCAAGAAGGGCTGGCGTTGGACCGTCCTGCCGTGGCAGGCAGAAGTCACGTGGCCGCACCTTCCAGATTTGGCACAGCGTGTCCTCAACGCGAGCAACAACGTTGCCAGTTTGATGCCGGAGCTCGAAGTGTGCGTGAGCATTGCAGAATTTGCAGAACTGATGCCACCTGGGTCTTCTTTCGGCGACTGCGTTGGTGCAGTGAAGATGAACCGGCCTCCGTGCCAGGCAGGCTACTTGGGAATGCATCTCTTGCAAATGCGCGCGGCGCACGCGGGCGCGGCCACGGCGCGTTGAAACGCCAGCAACACGTTGCCGATTGCGTTTATCCGACATGCGTCTTGCATGCAGTCTGCGCCGCGGCCGCGCGCGCCTGCGCCGCGCAGCATCTGCATTGGGGGGCGCGTGTCCGCCGAGGGGACAGCATTGATAATATTGGCAAGCTCGCAACGCACTGTGGCGGGGGATCTGGCGCCCCGCTGGTTAAGTTCATTGATCGGTTTGGCAAGATGCACGGTGCTAACAAGAAGCTCGGGCAGGATCTCGTTGCGTCAGTTGTCGACGTCCATTTCGGTGATCTCGAGCCGTGCGTCTTCCTGCGCATCGCAAGCACCCCTGCGAACCTTGCTCCCGATAAGCAGCCGGACGGCGCGGCGAAGCTATTGGTCCCCAGCGGCGTTGAGAGGTTGAAAGGCAAATCCGTCAAGGACAAAGCGATTGCGCTCGACAGGGACCTTTCCAAATGTTATCGCATCGCAGGCTCCCTGCGCGACAGCGGCCACATCGATCTAGAGCAGCGTGACATGCTGGTTGGGAAGTTCTTCACTCGTTCAATTTTGCGCTTAGCTGGGAAGGGCAAGCAAAGGCCAGAGGGCATCGTGTATGAGAGCCAGGTTCCGATTATCTCAGACTTCGTATCGGAGGCAGCCAGCGCGTCTGGCTGCGGCGTTGTCATAGACACAGACGGCGAGTGGAAACCTCATGCGCCCCTTGAAGCCAGCGGGCCGCATTCTACAGATGACAGGGCGGTCGCGATGACCGAAGAGGACCTGCGCAACCCAGAGCGCATCTTGGCAACCAAAGGTTTCACTGTTGGGAGCGTCGTGTTTGAGCGCGCCGTGAGCACGAATGCGGGGCTGTGCAAGATAGCGTCCATTAGTTCAGCCGAAGTAACCATGGGGCAGCTGATTGCGTTTACTGAGCCAGCGTTTGACGTGAAGGTCGCCCTCGCGCTCTTCTTGGAGGAGTGGGCGTCGTACAAGGGCAGCGTGCCCTTTGCAGTGCCGATGTCTGCAGGGACGTGCGCTTCGGCGCATCATCTGATGAAGTTGGATGAGGCGCGTTGCATTGTGTTCAAAGCCCTCAAAGATTTCGAGTTGATTGCCAATGATGGCACGATGTTGCAATGCGGCCTTACCCCCAGCGTCGTCGTCGCTGCCCAGA